CTGTTGCAGTCGGTTCACGCAATGATATGGTGTCTTTGATGTTACAATTGGTTCACGCAATGACACGGTGTCTTTGACGTTGCAGTCGGTTCACGCAGTGATACGGTGTGTTTGATGATACAGTCGGTTCACGCAGTGACACGGTGTGTTTGATGTTACAGTCGGTTCTCGCAGTGACAAAATGTCTTTGACGTTAAGTCGGTGAATGCAGTGACAAAGTGTTTTGAAGTTACAGTCGGTTCACGCAGTGACAAAATGTCTTTGATGTTACAACCGGTTCACGCAGTGACACGGTGTCTTTGATGTTACAGTCGGTTCACGTAGTGACACGGTGTCTTTGTTGTTACAGTCGGTTGACGCAGTGATACGGTGTCTTTGATGTTACAGTCGGTTCACGCAGTGACAAAATGTCTTTGATGTTACAGTCGGTTCACGCAGTGATACGGTGTCTTTGATGTTACAGTCGGTTCACGTAGTGACACGATGTCTTTGATGTTACAGTCGGTTGACGCAGTGATACGGTGTCTTTGATGTTACAGTCGGTTCACGCAGTGACAAAATGTCTTTGATGTTAAGTCGGTGAATCCAGTGACAAAGTGTTTTGATGTTACAGTCGGTTCACGCAATGACAAGATGTCTTTGATGTTAAAATCAGTTCACGCAATGACACAGTGTCTTTGATGTTACAGTCATTTCATGCAGTGACACGTGTCTTTGATGTTAAGTCGGTGAACATGTATGGAATCAAGTCACAAAAACCAAACTGCTACAGAAAAGCATGCATTCCATGCAAAATTTAACTTTTATGCACGCCCCATGCATTTCACTACCCAAGAATGGGTATAAAAACATGTGCCTTGACGGGATTCCATATACATTGGTTAGCATCGTGCTGACAACCACTCGGAAAAACAACAAAATTACGCAATTATTCAACATTACGAAATGCCATGCCTGTCCGAAAATGAGCATCTGCAAGCCATTATGCTTGAAGCAGGATCGAGTCAACGTATTATTGCAAGACAATTTAACGTCCACAGAAACACCATTTGGTGTTTATGGCAACGTTGGCAGGCCACGCGTAACCAATAATCGACAAGACAACTGGATTCGAACAACACACCTACGAAATCGATTCCAGCCAGCAACAGTGACTGCAATAAGCATCCCTGGCCTTCGACGAATAACTTCACAAACCGTACGTCGTCACCTCAGATGTGCAGGGATTGTCGCCAGAAGACCCGCCAGATGTCCCATTTTGACAGGAAACCACCGTCAAGCACGTCTACAGTGGTGCAGACAGCGTCTACGCTGGACGGTCATGCAGTTGGGACAAGTTCTATTCACAGACGAGTCTCGTTTTCACCTCAGCCACAGCGATGGACGGATTCGAGTGTACCGACGTCGAGGTGAACGTTACGTCAATCATGTGTCATGGAAGAAGATCGGTTCGGGGGCGGCAGCGTTATGGTATGGGGTGGGATTACAGCAAGACAGAGGACCCGTTTGATAGTGGTAGAGGGAAATCTCAATGGACAGGCTACCGCGACGAGATCATCGGCCCTGTTGTTCTACCGATGTTGTGTCGTCATGGCCCAGGCATTACCTTTCAACATGACAACGCCCGGCCTAATATTGCTCGACTTGTTCAGGACTCTCTTCAACAAAACAACGTTAATGTCACCCCCTGGCCGGCTCGCTCCCCTGATCTCTCACCAATCGAGCACATGTGGGATGAGATGGATCTGCGCCTTCGACGTCAACCACGTGTTCCACAGACATTCCAGGAACTTCGAAACATGCTCCAACAGATATGGACAGATATCCCACAGGACTTTGTGCGACGCCTGGTCCATTCAATGAGACGAAGATGTCTTGCTTGCATCGCAACCAGAGGTGGACACACACGCTATTGATTTGTAAATTGACATTTTGGCATGATCATGTTTGTTTTTTATGAAATCACGCATTTTCTGAAATCAGTATGGCAAATTAAACCATTTGAACACTTACAGGACTCTTTTATCTGTTGCAAACCGAAATTGTTTCAGATTTGGTAAAAAACTTAACTTTCCTTTAAATCTTATTCAATGTCACATGAACTTTTGTTGTTCAGTATATATACATGGCAGAATTTCTGCAAATGAGACAGGCATTAAGAATACACAACCCAGATTTCAGATAATCACAAATATTTAGATGGCACACTCCAGTGACATTCTGCCCGACTTATCTGCTATAACAGTGTCCATTGTTTGCCATTTGCTCGCGAAAAGGTGGCCATGCCCTGCGTTACACTGCATTAAAAACCTGCTTACGTGAATATCAGACCCGTGAAGATCCGGGGTAGAATAAGTCTTCAGCAACCCATGCTTGCCGTAAGAGGCGACTATGCTTGGCGTAAGAGGCGACTAACGGGATTGGGTGGTCCGGTTCGCTGACTTGGTTGACGTATGTCATCGTATCCCAATTGCGTGGATCGATGATCATGATGTCAATCACTGGATTTGTCTGGTCCAGACCCGATTATTTACAGACCGCCGTCATATACCTGGAATATTGCTGAGTGTGGCGTTAAGCTTCGTTCTTGCCACATACTAAAACATATGTTACATACGGTGTCTTCTTTGGAAATGTACCTCTGCTTATCCAGCAGCGAATCGGTCGTCCTATAGGACGAGGTGTTAATGTAACTATAGATCGTCTAGTGCCTTACAGACAGCTTGTATTGTATGCTCCCCGGGGACACTTGTTTCTGAGTAACACTTACTCCGTCATCAGGCGAATGGTGACATCATATACTCCGAAACGTTGTGTTCCTCATAATAAAGAAGTTGGCATTGTTCGACTATGAAGGAGTAGGTATTACTCCGAGAGGTAGTGTTCCTCATTATAACGAAGTTAGCATTATTCGCCTGATGAAGGAGTAAGTATATACTCCGAAACGTAGTGTTCCTCATAATAAAGGAGTTGGCATTCATATATTCTCTTTCTTATGTGTTTCACTTCTAAATGCCATTCAAACACCAAATGCAAAAAGGTGAATGACCATGCAGCGATTTGAACTGACCACTATTGTGCATGGTACTATTTATTGACCGGAAAACCAGTTGATCACGGGCCAAAAGTGAAAGGTCAATACACAATTACCTAGTGCACAGTATATTTCTGAAGATTTTGTGAAGCACTACCACGTTTATTGTGTGCAATCAAGCTGCGCACAGACCTCCAACACCCAGACATCTGTCACAGTCCTTAGAGTACAGCATACTTTTTATTTAATTGCTACGCTGTTAAAAGCCTTGTTGTGTTCTGCAATGCTCTCATGCTCAACCCGTGAGAAAGAAGTTAGCACAATATGAAGGTAAACAACATATGTGCGGGTCTGCACATGCTGGGTGTCTTCGTGTTGACTCGGTGTATATTTAGCTCATATCTGCACGCAGGGGCCCGTGGGTATAAGGGGCCACGGGTGGCCCAGTCGTCTAAGGCGCCGCAATTCGCTGTGCAGAGTTGCGTCCCTTGGGCACGCCCGAAACCTGTGATTGTGGGATCGAATCGCGGTTAGGCCCGATTATGTTCCTCGGTTTGTCAGCACCATACCCGTGCTCGTGGGTTTCACCGAAGTAGACAACGTCTGAGACCTGCATCACTTCGGGCTTTCCTACCACATTAAGCTGGCACGCCGTGATATAACTGGACTACTTTTAAAAGCGGCGTTAAACACAACTTACCCACTCCTTCGGTATGACAATGGAGTGATTGTATCCGTTCAAGAAAGGAAATCAACTCCAGACAATTTGGTCACTGTGTTGTACTGATACAACTTGGTCACTGTGTTGTACTGATACAACTTGGTCACTGTGTTGTACTGATACAATTTGGTCACTGTGTTGTACTGATACAACTTGGTCACTGCGTTGCACGACCCGTGAGAGCCGGGGTAGAATAGGTCTTCAGCAACCCTTGCTTGCCGTGAAAGGCGACCATGCTTGTCGTAAGAGGCGACTAACGGGATCAGGTGGTCAGGCTCGCTGACTTGGTTGATGCCTGTCATCGTATCTTAATTGCGTGGATCGTTGCCCATGATGTCAGTCACTGGATTTGTCTGGTCAAATATCCTTGTTCATTAACAGTTTAACTATTAGTCATAATATTAGTAAATATGCCATTGTTAATTCCATATGATAAATTCTTTTCCATGTCGTCGTGGCAGGAGACGAATTTTATTTGTCTTCCATACAGACTTTACGGGTTCGAATCCCACTGGCGACATATGTTTTTCGTGAAATTCGTATTTTGAACGTAAAGGGGAAAAACGTGCAAAGAAACTTGTAGTTATATGTTCAAAAACAATCACCAAAAAACATATCCTAATAATAATTTCTTATGGGGTGAGCCGTCATATAGCTGGACTATTGCGGGTGCGGCGTTAAACAACAAACCTACCGACCAACCAATTGTAAGAGTGGGATAAAAGAAGTAAGACACACTCCTCTCTCTGCCAACAATGAGAATGGGACAGAGGCCATTTACATCACAAACTGTGTTCATTCTTCGGTGAGCGTGAGTGAGTGAGTGAGTATGGTTTCACGCAGCTTTTAGCAATATTCCAGCAATATCACGGGGTGGGACACCAGAAAACGGGCTTCACACATTGTACCCATGCGGAATCGTACCCGGGCCTTCGGTGTGATGAGTGAATGATTTAACCACTAGGCTACCCAAGCGCTCTCCTCCTCCCCATATAGACGCAGTCTGGAGCGTCTTGAAGCTCTGACTATTTTATTGTTATCCTGCTGAGCAATTCTAGACACAAATAACAATGCACCCAACATACGTTTGTTTAACAATTGTTGGTTGGTGTATAATTTAGCAGTTAACAAGACAGTGCGCACTATGAGATCGATGTTGAGCTCGTTAAAGTTAACGAAATTGAACAGTTCCTTATGTCAATGATACGTAGACCATGAAGTAACATGTAAGTAATTTATTTGCAGTTGCGTCTCAGACCACGTGTCCACGGGTGCTCTGCTCGAGAGACTGCCTCTCCGGCTACAGGAACGACTCCAGAGGCTGCACTTTGTGTGAATGCGTTGACGACGGTAAAGATACACTATACTGCCTCCTAGCTAACGCTAATGTCATTTAAATCAATGGAATTCACTGGTAGTGTCTCGCCCACTCACTCCAAGCATTAAACCACTCACTCACTCAACTACCCACCCAAACACCTCACTCACTCACTCAACCACTCACTCAACCACTCAACCACTCAACCACTCACACAATCACTCACTCACTCACTCACTCACTCACTCACTCAACCACTCAACCACTCAACCACACTCACTCACTCACTCAACCACTCACTCAACCACTCACTCACTCAACCACTCACTCACTCAACCACTCACTCAACCACTCACTCACTCAACCACTCACTCACTCAACCACACTCACTCACTCAACCACTCACTGTTTTTCTTTTTCTTTCATTTATATTTTTTCTGTTGCTTTTTACATGGTTTATACAGTGCACTGCTTTACAAAGAAGTAATGACAACTTGACCAAAACTGCATCCAGAGGAAGATCACACTGTTACAAAGTCAGAATATATCAGAATAAATATTCAACAGTTTTAATTTGGTCTTTACATACGCTATATAACGTGTTATCTGCGTATCCCATTTTATGAAGTAACTTATTTGTTGGTAAAATTTGAAGGATAATTTGATATTGAAGTCATTAAAATTTCGTAGTTTTTAGACATTTAAATGGAATCGAATTATATTTGTATTTCTCTGTTCCAGTTTTTTGTTGTTCTAACATCGATTCCCATTTCGTAAAGAATGATTGTTTTAACACTGGCTATCTTATAAAAATTTATAATAGTATTGACTGCCTTGTCGTGACTTAAGTAAATGATAGATAATAAATGGAGGGGCTCTTCCAAATTATTTGGATATTTAAAAGCCATGTAACAAATGTTATTTTTGGGATAAAAAAGCCATCTTTGCGACAATACAGGGGAGATCGCACAACGGTATAGTTAGAAATGTGTTTATTATGACGTTCGCGAAAATATTCAAATGGAAGAAATAGGCCATTTTCATCAATGAGATCATTCAGGAAACGTTCGCCCTTATGTCGCCAATATGCTTATTGCCATCATGTATATTATCATTTAACCATGCTGATTTTCTTCCTCAGCCTGTCCTGACATCTCGTACTGTCGCGAGTACTGCCAGTATGGGCACAGACTAGACGAGTATGGATGCCGCACGTGTGACTGTCGCCCGTATCAGCCCCCGTCATACAGTACGTGGAACCTTGACATTATTATGTCGCTAGTAGCATATACAGTACGATTTAGCAGTATGACGTAGCATGTGCAGTACGATGTGGTATGAGTAGTACGATGTAGCAGTACGATGTTGCATGTGCAGTACGATGTAGCATGTGCAGTACGATGTATCATGTGCAGTACGATGTAGCATGTGCAGTACGATGTGGCATGTGCAGTACGATGTATCATGTGCAGTACGATGTAGCATGTGCAGTACGATGTAGCATGTGCAGGACGATGTAGCATGTGCAGGACGATGTAGCATGTGCAGTACGATGTGGCATGTGCAGTACGATGTAGCATGTGCAGTACGATGTAGCATGTGCAGTACGATGTGGCATGTGCAGTACGATGTAGCATGTGCAGTACGATGTGGCATGTGCAGTACGATGTAGCATGTGCAGGACGATGTAGCATGTGCAGGACGATGTAGCATGTGCAGTACGATGTGGCATGTGCAGTACGATGTAGCATGTGCAGGACGATGTAGCATGTGCAGTACGATGTAGCATGTGCAGTACGATGTAGCATGTGCAGGACGATGTAGCATGTGCAGTACGATGTAGCATGTGCAGTACGATGTAGCATGTGCAGTACGATGTATCATGTGCAGTACGATGTATCATGTGCAGGACGATGTAGCATGTGCAGTACGATGTGGCATGTGCAGTACGATGTAGCATGTGCAGTACGATGTGGCATGTGCAGGACGATGTGGCATGTGCAGTACGATGTAGCATATGCAGTACGACGTAGCATGTGCAGTACGATGTAGCATGTGCAGTACGATGTGGCATGTGCAGTACGATGTGGCATGTGCAGTACGATGTAGCATGTGTAGTACGATGTAGCATGTGTAGTACGATGTAGCATGTGTAGTACGATGTAGCATGTGCAGTACGATGTGGCATGTGCAGTACGATGTAGCATGTGCAGTACGATGTGGCATGTGCAGTACGATGTGGCATGTGCAGTACGATGTAGCATGTGCAGTACGATGTAGCATGTGCAGTACGATGTAGCATGTGCAGTACGATGTGGCATGTGCAGTACGATGTAGCATGTGCAGTACGATGTAGCATGTGCAGTACGATGTGGCATGTGCAGGACGATGTAGCATGTGCAGTACGATGAGGCATGTGCAGTAGGTGCAGTACGATGTGGCATGTGCAGTACGATGTGGCATGTGCAGTACGATGTGGCATGTGCAGTACGATGTAGCATGTGCAGTACGATGTGGCATGTGCAGTACGATGTAGCATGTGCAGTACGATGTAGCATGTGCAGTACGATGTGGCATGTGCAGTACGACGTAGCATGTGCAGTACGATGAGGCATGTGCAGTAGGTGCAGTACGATGTGGCATGTGCAGTACGATGTGGCATGTGCAGTACGATGTAGCATGTGCAGTACGATGTAGCATGTGCAGTACGATGTAGCATGTGCAGTACGATGTAGCATGTGCAGTACGATGTGGCATGTGCAGTACGATGTAGCATGTGCAGTACGATGTAGCATGTGCAGTACGATGTGGCATGTGCAGGACGATGTAGCATGTGCAGTACGATGAGGCATGTGCAGTAGGTGCAGTACGATGTGGCATGTGCAGTACGATGTGGCATGTGCAGTACGATGTAGCATGTGCAGTACGATGTAGCATGTGCAGTACGATGTAGCATGTGCAGTACGATGTGGCATGTGCAGTACGATGTAGCATGTGCAGTACGATGTAGCATGTGCAGTACGATGTGGCATGTGCAGGACGATGTAGCATGTGCAGTACGATGAGGCATGTGCAGTAGGTGCAGTACGATGTGGCATGTGCAGTACGATGTGGCATGTGCAGTACGATGTAGCATGTGCAGTACGATGTAGCATGTGCAGTACGATGTATCATGTGCAGTACGATGTAGCATGTGCAGTACGATGTGGCATGTGCAGTACGATGTAGCATGTGCAGTACGATATAGCAGTACGATGTATCATGTGCAGTACGATGTAGCATGTGCAGTACGATGTAGCATGTGTAGTACGATGTAGCAGTACGATGTCTCATGTGCAGTACGATGTAGCATGTGCAGTACGATGTAGCATGTGCAGTACGATGTGGCATGTGTAGTACGATGTAGCAGTACGATGTATCATGTGCAGTACGATGTAGCATGTGCAGTACGATGTAGCATGTGTAGTACGATGTAGCAGTACGATGTATCATGTGCAGTACGATGTGGCATGTGCAGGACGATGTAGCATGTGCAGTACGATGTGGCATGTGCAGTACGATGTAGCATGTGCAGTACGATGTGGCATGTGCAGTACGATGTAGCATGTGTAGTACGATGTAGCATGTGTAGTACGATGTAGCATGTGTAGTACGATGTGGCATGTGCAGTACGATGTGGCATGTGTAGTATGTGCAGTACGATGTTGCATGTGCAGTACGATGTAGCATGTGCAGTACGATGTGGCATGTGCAGTACGATGTAGCATGTGCAGTACGATGTAGCATGTGCAGTACGATGTAGCATGTGTAGTACGATGTAGCAGTACGATGTTGCATGTGCAGTACGATGTAGCATGTGTAGTACGATGTAGCAGTACGATGTTGCATGTGCAGTACGATGTTGCATGTGCAGTACGATGTGGTATGTGTAGTACGATGTAGCAGTACGATGTAGCATATGCAGTACGATGTGGCATGTGCAGTACGATGTAGCAGTACGATGTAGCATGTGCAGTACGATGTTGCATGTGCAGTACGATGTGGTATGTGTAGTACGATGTAGCAGTACGATGTTGCATGTGCAGTACGATGTGGTATGTGTAGTACGATGTAGCAGTACGATGTAGCATGTGTAGTACGATGTAGCATGTGCAGTACGATGTAGCATGTGCAGTACGATGTGGCATGTGCACTACGATGTGGCATGTGCAGTACGATGTAGCATGTGCAGTACGATGTGGCATGTGCAGTACGATGTGGTATGTGTAGTACGATGTAGCAGTACGATGTTGCATGTGCAGTACGATGTAGCATGTGCAGTACGATGTATCATGTGCAGTACGATGTGGCATGTGCAGTACGATGTGGCATGTGCAGTACGATGTGGCATGTGCAGTACGATGTGGCATGTGTAGTACGATGTAGCATGTGCAGTACGATGTGGCATGTGCAGTACGATGTGGCATGTGCAGTACGATGTGGCATGTGCAGTACGATGTGGCATGTGCAGTACGATGTGGCATGTGCAGTACGATGTGGCATGTGCAGTACGATGTAGCATGTGCAGTACGATGTGGCATGTGCAGTACGATGTAGCATGTGCAGTACGATGTAGCATGTGCAGTACGATGTAGCATGTGCAGTACGATGTAGCATGTGCAGTACGATGTGGCATGTGCAGTACGATGTAGCATGTGCAGTACGATGTAGCATGTGCAGTACGATGTAGCATGTGCAGTACGATGTAGCATGTGCAGTACGATGTAGCATGTGCAGTACGATGTAGCATGTGCAGTACGATGTGGCATGTGCAGGACGATGTAGCATGTGCAGTACGATGTAGCATGTGCAGTACGATGTAGCATGTGCAGTACGATGTGGCATGTGCAGTACGATGTAGCATGTGCAGTACGATGTAGCATGTGTAGTACGATGTGGCATGTGCAGTACGATGTAGCATGTGCAGTACGATGTAGCATGTGCAGTACGATGTGGCATGTGCAGTACGATGTAGCATGTGCAGTACGATGTAGCATGTGTAGTACGATGTGGCATGTGCAGTACGATGTAGCATGTGCAGTACGATGTAGCATGTGCAGTACGATGTAGCATGTGCAGGACGATGTAGCATGTGCAGTACGATGTAGCATGTGCAGTACGATGTAGCATGTGCAGTACGATGTAGCATGTGCAGTACGATGTGGCATGTGTAGTACGATGTGGCATGTGCAGTACGATGTATCATGTGCAGTACGATGTATCATGTGCAGGACGATGTAGCATGTGCAGTACGATGTAGCATGTGCAGTACGATGTATCATGTGCAGGACGATGTAGCATGTGCAGTACGATGTAGCATGTGCAGTACGATGTAGCATGTGCAGTACGATGTGGCATGTGCAGTACGATGTGGCATGTGCAGTACGATGTAGCATGTGCAGTACGATGTAGCATGTGCAGTACGATGTAGCATGTGCAGTACGATGTGGCATGTGCAGTACGATGCGGCATGTGCAGTACGATGTGGCATGTGCAGTACGATGTAGCATGTGCAGTACGATGTGGCATGTGCAGTACGATGTGGCATGTGCAGTACGATGTAGCATGTGCAGTACGATGTAGCATGTGCAGTACGATGTGGCATGTGCAGTACGATGAGGCATGTGCAGTAGGTGCAGTACGATGTAGCATGTGCAGTACGATGTGGCATGTGCAGTACGATGTAGCATGTGCAGTACGATGTAGCATGTGCAGTACGATGTAGCATGTGCAGGACGATGTAGCATGTGCAGTACGATGTGGCATGTGCAGTACGATGTGGCATGTGCAGGACGATGTAGCATGTGCAGTACGATGTGGCATGTGCAGTACGATGTAGCATGTGCAGTACGATGTAGCATGTGCAGTACGATGTAGCATGTGCAGTACGATGTGGCATGTGCAGTACGATGTAGCATGTGCAGTACGATGTGGTATGTGCAGTACGATGTAGCATGTGCAGTACGATGTGGCATGTGTAGTACGATGTAGCATGTGCAGTACGATGTGGCATGTGTAGTACGATGTAGCATGTGCAGTACGATGTAGCATGTGCAGTACGATGTAGCATGTGCAGTACGATCAATCATATACTTGAAAATGTAAACCTATCGCTGTTGCGCTTAATTATAAGTTCATATTTGTAGGTCTATATTTGCAACCCAAACGAATCTTAATAGCGCTAAAGGGGCGGTGGGGTAGCCTAGAGGTTAAAGCATTCGCGCGCACGCACGCACGCACACACACACACACACACACACACACACACACACACACATCGGGATATTGTGATTCAAGAAACTAAACTAAAGATACTAACGAAGCTGCCAACCCCCTCTGATGCGACTATTTTAAATAAAGAAAAGTCTCACAGAAAGTAAATTCGATGAATGAAGACAGTATATTTTATTGATGACAACTCCGTTAATCCATTATGGTGCGACGTTTCGGTACAGATCATTTCACCCTTGTCAATCAAGACTGATTGGTAAAGGTAAAAGAATCTATACCGTAACGTCGCCTCTTTATAGAGTAAAAAAATAGAGTAAATAAAATGTCTTTTTTCGTGTGTTTTTTTTTTAGTCAATCCATCAAGTTTTTTTCGTTATTCAGGCCACATAGTACAGTTGTAAGATAACTAACATTACAGGTTTTAACAGTTATTTATCAACTTGTAAAATTGCCAGTTCAATTGATATGAGTGCCGAATCTCGAACAATAAACTCAAGTGAAGACAAAACATCGTTTTCTCACCGAAGAGGGGCGGTGGGGTAGCCTAGTGGTTAAAGCGTTCGCTCGTCACGCCGAAGACCAGGGTTCGATTCCCCACCTGGGTACAATATGTGAAGCCCATTTCTGGTGTCCCCCCCGCCGTGATATTGCTGGAATATTGCTAAAAGCGGCGTACTCACCATACTCACTCACTCACTCACTCGACCTGTGAAGAGTAGGTCTTCAGCAACCCATGCTTGCCGTAAAAGGCGACTATGCTTGTCGTAAGAGGCGACTAACGGGATCGGGTGGTCAGGCTCGCTGACTTGGTTGATGCATGTCATCGTATTCCAATTACGTGGATAGATACTCATGATGTCAATCACTGGATTGTCTTGTCCAACCTCGATTATTTACAGACCGCCGTCATATAGCTGGAATATTGGTGAATGCGGCGTTAAACAACAAACAAACAAACACTCACTCTCACCGAAGAATGAACACAGTTTGTGATGTAAATGGCTTCTGTCCCATTTCCATTGATGGCAGAGAGAGGAGTGTGTCTTACTTCTTTTATCCCACTAATACGATTGGTTGGTTGGTTGGTCGCCTCCTACGACAAGCATAGTCTCATGTTACGGCAAGCCTGGGTTGCTGAAGACCAATTCAACCCCGGATCATCACATGTCCCACTCATACGAAGGAAAGTACAGTGTACAATCGGTCATTGTTTAATTGTGTATAGGAGAAGGTCTAATGGTAAATAGGGGTTGGCTCTACCAAAAACGTGCGCAGAAGACCAGAGTCGAGAATGGAGGCTTGCTTTCTGGGGTGCGAACGGAGGGACGGGCTTGAGCGATCAAGCGTGTAATTTTGGAGGACGTCTCCTCCAACAACGCCTTATATTATGCATCTATATACAAACGCTCCGCCTCGATGTATTTTCGTTTCAGCCTTTGAAATTGCTATACAGGACGAAAGTGCGAATATACTTTATTTACGCGCAGCGTTCGATGTTTTGAATACGATAATTGCATTGACGATGTAACGACCTGCCGAATTCTACAAAGTCGGGTATACCCATGTGTTTGTTTGTTGTTTAACGCCGCACTCAGCAATATTCCAGCTATATGACGGCGGTCTGTAATTAATCGAGTCTGGAGCAAACATTCCAATGATTGAAATCATGAGCATCGATCCACGCAATTGGGATAAGATGACATGCATCAACCACGTTACCGAAGCCTGACCACCCGATCCCGTTAGTTACCTCTTGCGACAAGTATGGGTTGCTGAAGACCAATTCTAACCCGGATCTTCACGGGTCCAGGTAATGAATGGTTTGTACCGAGTAGACGCTTGTCTCTCAGTGAAGATTCCGACAAATGCGTGTCTCTCCGTGAACATTCCGACAGACGCATGTCTCTCCGTGAAGATTCCGACAGACGCATGTCTTTCCGTGAAGACTTCAAACAGAGGCATGTCTTTCCGTGAAGACTTCGGACAGAGGCATGACTTTCCGTGAAGACTTCTAACAGAGGCATGTCTTTCCGTGAAGACTTCGAAAAGAGGCATGTCTTTCCGTGAAGACTTCGAACAGAGGCATGTCTTTCCGTGAAAACTTCGGACAGAGGCATGTCTTTCCGTGAAGACTTCGAACAGAGGCATGTCTTTCCGTGAAGACTTCGAACAGAGGCATGTCTTTCCGTGAAGACTTCTAACAGAGGCATGTCTTTCCGTGAAGACTTCGGGCAGGGGCATGTCTCCCCGCGAATATTCCTGACAGTCGATCTGCACAGTACCGAGGATTCAAGACAAATATAGCAGTGTAAAACCACAAAACCGTGTGTTGTAAAAGCCGATAGAAATATTCACCTCGTGGGAACGCGAAGACGCCCCTTACAGCATGCAATGCATGAGCAAACATGTAGCAGTCAAAGCAAACTGAAATTTTTTTATTTTTTATTTTGGTATCATACAGCTGGTTATCTACATGTATTTCACAGAACGAACGTGTGCCTGTTCTGGTTAACACATGAGATGAAGCTAAGAAGTAGTACTAAGACATAATACAAATTACAAATCACAGAACTGCGAAATTAGAAAACAAACTCTAAGATCCCATCATTATATCTTTTAAATTTTGTTGTTGTATGTTATAATGATGTTGTTACAGACACCGTCGCCAGCGCCAACTCCTCCTGCAGTGTGATCACGTGTGAGAACTACTGCCCCTACGGGAGATTCGTCCGCGATGGATGTGTCACTTGCCAATGTCGAACAGAGGATGACAAAAGTAAGTGATGTAGATCTTTCAGAATTAAAGGGAGGGGCACTTGTGTATTCCTTAGGATGCCGCCATTAAGGTGTGGGGATCTATCAGAGAGAGGGGTACCTGTGTATTCCTTAGGATGCCGCCATTAAGGTGTGGGGATCTATCAATGGGAGGGATACCTGTGTATTCCTTAGGATGCCGCCATTAAGGTGTGGGGATCTATCAGAGAGAGGGGTACCTGTGTATTCCTAAGGATGCCGCCATTAAGGTGTGGGGATCTATCAGAGAGAGGGGTACCTGTGTATTCCTAAGGATGCCGCCATTAAGGTGTGGGGATCTATCAGAGAGAGGGATATCTGTGTATTCCTTAGGATGCCGTCATTAAGGTGTGTGGATCTATCAATGGGAGGGATATCTGTGTATTCCTTAGGATGCCGTCATTAAGGTGTGGGGATCTATCAATGGGAGGGGTACCTGTGTATTCCTTAGGATGCCACCATTAAGGTGTGGGGATCTATCAGAGGGAGGGATATCTGTGTTTTCCTTAGAATGCCGCCATTAAGGTGTGGGGATCTATCAGAGGGAGTGATATCTGTGTATTCCTTAGGATGCCACCATTAAGATGTGAGGATCTATCAATGGGAGGGATATCTGTGTATTCCTTAGGATGCCACCATTAAGGTGTGGGGATCTATCAATGGGCGGGATATCTGTGTATTCCTTAGGATGCAACCATTAAGATGTGAGAATTTATCAATGGGAGGGATATCTGTGTATTCCTTAGGATGCCACCATTAAGGTGTGGGGATCTATCAATGGGAGGGATACCTGTGTATTCCTTAGGATGCCGCCATTAAGGTGTGGGGATCTATCAATGGGAGGGGTACCTGTGTATTCCTTAGGATGCCACCATTAATGTGTGGGGATCTATCAGAGGGAGGGGTACCTGTGTATTCCTTAGGATGCCGTCATTATGGTGTGGGGACCTATCAGAGGGAGGGGTAATGTGTATTCCTTAGGATGCCCCATTAAGATGTGAGGATCTATCAATGGGAGGGATATCTGTGTATTCCTTAGGATGCCACCATTAAGGTGTGGGGATTTATCAGAGGGAGGGATACCTGTGTATTCCTAAGGATGCCACCATTAAGATATTGGGATCTATCAAAGGGAGGGATATCTGTGTTTTCCTTAGGATGACGTCATTCAGGTTTGAGGATCTGTCAATGGGAGGGATACATATGTATTCCTTAGGATGCCGTCATTAAGGAGGGGGGATCTATCAGAGGGAGGGGCACCTGGGTATTCCTCAGGGTGACGCCAGTAACTTGTGGGGCGTGGCCTCTTCTATCGAAGACACTAAGGGTTGAGTTTGTGTATTTTGGATGCTTGGCATCAAAGCATATGTTCCTATTCTAGACAGTTGGCTGGAGAGTATGAATGTCGAGGTGGGATGTAGGCTTCTGTTTCTGTGCATCTGGAACTCCCTCGATCACCTCGTGTTTCAGGTTGCGGGCCGGTGTGCAGGAACTGGTGCTCGTCGGGTCGCTTCTACGACAGTGAAGGCTGTGCCACCTGTTACTGCTATAGACGTGAGTACTCGGGAATCTGAACACCAATGCCTTCAGGCCCTTGACTATCTGGTCAACTCTACCATATGTTATTTGCCCAGTGTCCATTACCTATTACTTGTCTATGATAACTCAAGTATCGGCTTCCATACCTTCAGCACTAATTACCGTAAAGTGTTGGCTTCCATTGTCTATTGCTAATCACCTATCAGTGCTAATTACTGTAAAGTGTTGGCTTCCATTGTCTATTGCTAATCACCTATCAGCGCCAATCATCTGTTGGCTTTCCTTGTTAGTTTCTACCCTTTCTTATTTTCCACCTTTTGTTATCTTATTAATTTTGTTGTCCTTACAAGTACATATATATGCTCTCTGCCTCATGGCATTCGGTTGCACAGACCACCTTCGCCCCTTTCGGAAACACATTAAATGGCCTGGCCGGGCCCGTGTGCGAAATACGCATCAGTCGGAAAGCGCACGTTAAATCTCCAAAGTAAGTAAAGTAAGTAAGTAAGGCATTCATTCACCTGATGAAGGAGTAAGCATATACTCCGAAACGTTGTGTTCCTCATTATAAAGAAATTGTTTGACAGGCATTACTTAGAAGTTGACGGTTGACAAGGTAGACACAATTTTATGGATAATAACTTCTTTAAAACTGTAAAAAGCGACGTTTCGGTATAGATTCTTATACCGTTGTCAAGCAAGACTGAATGAGGGACACATACTACAGAATATATATAGTAGGTGGAGGAATAACAGTAGAGTTGTTACTGTTACTGTTACTGTTAATCCTCTACTGTTAATCCTCCACCTACGATATATATTCTGTACTATGTCCCTCATTCAGTCTTGCTTCACAACGGTATAAGGATCTATACCGAAACGTCTCTTTTTACAGTATTAAAGAAGTTGTTATCCATACAATTGTGTCTACCTTGTCATAATAAAGAATTTGGCATCCATATATTCTCTTCCTTAAAAAATATCTAGTTTTGGTGTTTAGCGGTGTCTGAACATGTATCATGACTCAAATTCATCATGAACAAACCAAGGCCGATCGTATAACTGTACAACGGATATGTATTTACAACGAAGTTTATGACGCACCTGAAGTCTTTTTTTTCGGATACACATGTTCTATAAACACGGAAAATCTGTTTTTGTTCAATATTTCAAGTTTCCATTGCCTTGTTTACAGAGTGTGAAGAAATTGGCTTGTTCGTAATGGCCCGACGTACCCTGGATAATTGTGTTCGGCGCGGATGAGTGTCTTACTCGGGAGCATACACCCATGCACAAATATTAGCTTGATACAAATAAGAAGTTTAGAGCTTTCAGTCGCCTAATTTCACCGGATTGTTGATAACTTCTCGACAGGTGTGCACCCGATTACATCATTTCTGTCAATATGTCAATTATAAAAAGTGATTAATGTATTCACATACTTTTTTTTAAATAACGTGTACACCATGTGAGCACGCAGTGATGACGCTACCCTCGGAAAAGACGTCATGATAGTGAGTCTGGTTTGTCATTATTTTTTCAAAATTTGTCGTGGCAGAGATTGAGTATTTTTTTAAATTCTTTCTTTAGTAGTTTACAAATCCATAGAGTAAGTTGATTCTTATGAACAACGTGTCTTATTTTCCCACGATACGGCCCGCCTGCCTACGACTATAGATATTCTTGACAAATTAGGGATTGAATGGTTATGTGCAAACAATCGGACTCAGGTGCAAAAACGAAATTTGAATTTCTTAATTGTGTGTGGCGATCGGACGTTATAGTATCCAGTACTAGTTAGTATTCATAGATATACAGCAGCGTGTCGGAGATAGGACGTTATAGTTTCCAGTACTGGGCAGTATTAATAGGTATACAGCAGCGTGTCGGAGATAGGACGTTATAGTACCCAGTACAAAACAGTATTCCTAGATATACAACAGCGTGTCGGAGATAGGACCTTATAGTATCCAGTACAAAACAGTATTCATAGATATACAACAGCGTGTCGGAGATATGACGTTTTAGTATCCAGTACTGGACAGTATTCATAGATATACAACAGCGTGTCGGAGATATGACGTTTTAGTATTCAGTACAAAACAGTATTCATAGATATACAACAGCGTGTCGGAGAAAGGACGTTATAGTACCCAGTACAAAACAGTATTCATAGATATACAACAGCGTGTCGGAGATAGGACCTTATAGTATCCAGTACAAAACAGTATTCATAGATATACAACAGCGTGTCGGAGATATGACGTTTTAGTATCCAGTACTGGACAGTATTCATAGATATACAACAGCGTGTCGGAGATATGACGTTTTAGTATCCAGTACAAAACAGTATTCATAGATATACAACAGCGTGTCGGAGAAAGGACGTTATAATACCCAGTACAAAACAGTATTTCTTGATATACAACAGCGTGTCGGAGATCAGACGTTATAGTACCCAGTACAAAACAGTATTCATAGATATACAACAGCGTGTTGGAGAAAGGACGTTATAATATCATAACGCTGCCATGCCCACATATCTGTGTTGTCATGGGTACAGAGGAACACGGGGTTGAGAACTGGGTGTATGCGTGTATACATACATGATACAAAATGAAGGCAATACCGCATTTCTCCTCCTCCGGGTGTTGACATTGACGTCAATGAGTCAATACTTCGTCGGCTACGACAGTGCAATTCCGTGTTACCAGCTCCCTATCAATATTGACTTGCTCTAGTCACAATGTAATATTTCCCGTGTGTTCTTCAAGGACCTGTCGTGTGTTGACCGGTTAACAGCGATGTCGGCGTAGATAGCAGTGTGACTTAATAAGGCCAGGAGTCTGCTGTTGTTAGGTAAATTACACTAATATTGATACATATAATAAATATGTCCCTTGGTAAACTTGGTTTACGAATAGAAAACAAATAGTTGGTTTGTGTGTGTGCATTCATACGCATATTTCAATACCATATCTTAACAATTCTCTACATTTGCACAGAAGAAAATGTCTGCATGGAGTTTTTATTCAGCTCTGGTCGATGCACATCACGCATATCTGTACAATGGAAATATATCTGTACAATGGATATATACCTGTACAATGGATATATATCTGTACAATGGATATATCTGTACAGTGGCGATATATCTGTAAAATGGATATATATCTGTACAGTGGCGTTATATCTGTAAAATAAATATATGTCTGTAAAATGACTATATGTCTGTAAAATGACTATATGTCTGTAAAATAGCTATATATCTGTAAAATGGCTATATATCTGTAAAAGAGCTATATAAGTGCAATAATCTTGAACGCGACGTTAAACCCCATTTCACCTCACCACATCCTTTAGTGCCTCTTTCGACTGCCATACGTTTCTGAGGACCAATTCATTACATGATATAATAAGATTAATTAATTATGTAAATTAATATCAGTGATAAAATAAATTAGCAATATTGATAAATAAAACTATCACTATTACCTTACTAATTGATTTAGTTATACCTCAAGAGTCCAAACGCGGTTTTTTCACGAACACCTGGAGTCATCACCGATTTTCAGTGGTCCATTTTTTTACAGCTATTTTGACCTTTAGCAAGGAACACATGCGTGGGCCCGAGCACCTGACACTTTAAACTGATATATACACAAACTCATTGCGAGCTGTAAACCACAAATAATGAAACTTTAAAAGTCAAGGTCATTGGAAGTCCTTTGGTTTTATTTTAAACTTTTTACACCCAATTAGATGTGTATCGTAATTGAATGCTAACAGATCTTGACGTCTATTTCTACAGATCTGTCTACCAGCATAAATGCCACGGCAGATTGGTACAAAGAGAAGCTGTGTTGTAATGAATGTCGTGTTGACGCCCAAGTGTAATGGGCCATCTTAATGTCAACGCCCGTGAAGATCTGGGTTAGAATAGGTCTTCAGTAACCCATGCTTGCCGCACTCAGCAATATTCCAGCTATATGACCGCGGTCTGTAAATAATCGAGTCTGGACCAGACAATCCAGTCATTAATATCATGAGCATCGATCCAGGCAATTGGGATCGATGACATGCATCAACCAAGTCAGCGAGCCTGACCACCCGATCCCGTTAGTCGCCTCTTAAGACAAGCATAGTCGCCTTTTACGGCAAGCATGGGATACTGAAGACCTATTCTGACCAGGGTCTTCACGGGTCCGTTCCGTTCCGTTCACACATGTGTGTAATTTTTATTTGGCCCTGCAGTTTATTGTTGCTAGGAATGATCCAGCAATTGAGTAGAAGACAGTGAGCTTAAAGGACTCAGACATTCATTGCTGTCAATCAATTAGCAATCTTCAATTAACCAATTCTCTCCCTTCAGCTGTATGCCCTAGGCGTTACTGTAGCAACAGCTGTGACAAGGGGTACGTCACCGACGACAACGGATGCTCGACCTGCACGTGCGTCGGAAGTGAGTATCACATTATGAGGAAGATTAAAGCAGACAGTCAATAGAATCGTAGCATGCATGACGGATTTATTTATTTGTTGTTTTTGTTTGTTTGTTGTTTACCGCCGCACTCAGCAATATTCCAGCTATATGACGGCGGTCTGTGAATAATCGAGTCTGGACCAGACAATCCAGTGACTGACATCATGAGTTTCGATCCAAGCAGTTGGGAAACGATAACATGCATCAACCAAGTCAGCGAGCCTGACCACCCGATCCCGTTAGTCGTCTCTTATGACAAGCATAGTCACCTTTTACGGCAAGCATGGGTTGCTGAAGACCTATTCTACCCCGGATCTACACGGGTCCCCGTGCATGACAGAGTTACGTCTGACTGCATTGTAGCAATATTGCTCAAATCGAAAAAAGAGCAGAAAAACGTTTATAAGCGTTTATATAATTTACATGTTAAGAAATGTGTTAAATATGAGTGAGTGAGTGAGTGTGGTTTTACGCCGCTTTTAGAAAAAGGGTTCACACATTGTACCCATGTCGGGAATCGCCACCCGGGTCTTCGGCATGTTGAGCGAACCAATTAACCACTAGCCTACCCGACCGCCCCTTTGTATATGAAAGTATTTACAAGGACAAATGTTGTTGGTATGTTGTGAGATGTTTGTGTACATAATAAACGAAATATATTTTGTTCCGTCTGGTACACAACTGTTTTAGCACAGCATATCCAGCATCAGTTAAATACCTAAATGTCTAAGCATGACCTTCCAACGTTCAGAAGGATATATATATCCTACTCCGCGGAAAATGTTACCGTGACCATGTGAACAATTATTATAGAGTATTATTTTCGAAATGCACATAACCCCAAAGTTCCTCCTTTGAAAGCACACTGTAATAAAGTTGATTGACTTTTTGAAACATTTTTTTCATAAACATATTAATTAAAACAAAATTGCACATTCTATCCTCCTTTGAAAGTACACTGTAATAAAGTTGATTGACTTTTTCAAACCTTTTATTAAAAAAAATATTAAAAAAACAAAATTGCATATTCTACCCTCCATTGAAGGTACACTGTAATGAAGTTGATTGACTTTTTGAGACATTTTATCAAAAAAATATTAACTAAAACAAAATTGCACATCCTATCCTCATTTGAAAGTACATTGTAATAGAGTTGATTGACATTTTCAAACTTTTTATTAAAAAAAAATATTAAAAAAACAAAATTGCATATTCTACCCTCCATTGAAGGTACACTGTAATGAAGTTGACTGACTTTTTGAGACATTTTATCAGAAAAATATTAACAAAAACAAAACTGCACATTCTATCAAACACTGTCTGTGAACACAAGTAAAAGTGAAATGTGATTTTACCGGAGTTTGAAAGGGAAAGCCACTTTGGGGAGTGGCAGTATAAAGTCTGTGTGGACTTTCTTTGTTGTGATCCCAAAGTGAAAGACTGTACCAAATAATTGAACCAGGAATATTCAAAAGAGAGAATGTAATACAGTGGGGTAAATTTGCGAAAAAAGATTGGAAATTGTGATATCTCTGTTTCAGGATTAATAAAACTAATGCTATTATAGCGAGTTAATGTTAAGCTATGTATTGTATATATACAATTTAGCGCATGTCAGCTTTTGGTATATAACCATTATTGTCATACCATGTGTCATCGTTTTAAGTCCTATAATCTGTGCATATCTGAATATGTAATACTAACTATGTGTTATACGTATATGTGACCGATTTACTGCGTGAGTGTACTTGAAAATATTAAGATGAAGTTTTTTTTAAATAATACGCGGCCATCTTGAAATATGGCAGCCATCTTGGATTGTTAAGTGGCTTAATTACGTATTTTCCTCACTTAACATCAATATGAATATTCATGTAAAGTTTCATGCGGTTTACATCATCGGAACAATTCCGCAATGTTTTGCACTTTATCTGACGTGATCAAGTTATATGAAGACTAACTGCTGTTCCAGATTATGTACCTCCGCCCGGGTGTCCAGTCGTCAGTTGCGAGTTGTTCTGCCATTATGGCTTCAAGAACGGAAGTGACGGGTGCCCCGTCTGCGAATGCGCTAACAAGAGTGAGTTCGACTTGAAAAACAACTATGACGGCACTCTGTTGTTGTTTTCACTATACATGTTGTTTGACGAATGTCCAGTTGGTTGTCTGTTGCTCGTAACTACAGTACCTTGAACCATCATTTGGGGGGGGGGGGGGGGGGGAGGGCTTCTGGCTCCGGGAGTAGGGTGTGTGTAGAGCTGTGGAGTTGTAATGTGTGGGGTGGGGAGTGGGATTGTGGGGGTGTTTGGCTAGGAGTGGTGCGTGGATGGCACGGGTTGGGAGGGGTGGTGGGTATTGGCTTTGTAACGTTGTTGATGTTATTTTTCATGACTGACTTATAAACTTTATCATCCTACTAGTCTAAGTAGTGGAAGACCCGTGAAGATCCGGGGTAGAATAGGTCTTCAGCAGTCCATGCTTGCCGTAAAAGGTGACTATGCTTGTCGTAAAAGGCGACTAACGGGATCGGGTGGTCAGGCTCGCTGACTTGGTTGATTCATGTCATCGTATCCCAGTTGCGTGGATCGATGCTCATGATGTCAATCACTGGGTTGTCTGGTCCAGACTCCATTATTTAACAGACCGCCGTCATATAGCTGGAATATTGCTGAGTGTGGCGTTAAACAACCAACAAACAGACAAATTCGTGAAAATTAACTAACTGCTTAGTAAAGTCTACTTACATCTTAGTGTCTGAGTGGACAGTGAAATGAGTGGACTAAGGTTGTACATTTTACCAGCTATGCGCGTCCTGTGTGCGTCCTGAATTAAGTCTATGTTTCCAGCTCCCATAGCGTGCCCGCGGACATACTGCGACCTTGACTGTCCTAATGGCTTCCAAACCAACAACAATGGCTGCAAGCTGTGCCTATGTCAAGGTCAGTCACGTGACATCGTGTTCAAGTTTGTATTCCTCCTCCCTGTGTGTGTGTATAGGTGAGATGCTGTGCTTATAGTATGTCATCGCAGGGCGGCCTCTAAGGCGCCATAAATTGCTGTGCAGGGTTGTGTCCATTAGGCGTTCCAGGAACCTATGATCGTGTGTTCGAATCCAGTTTCGCCATGATTATGTTTCTTGATGTGTCAGCACCATACCATCCTCACTGGTTTCACTAAAGTGGTAAACTTCAAAGACCTGCATCACTTCAGGCTATCCTCCCACATCAAATTGACACCCCGTGAAATAACTGAAATACTGTTCGAAGTGGTGTTGAACCCAACTCACTCACTAACTCATTCACCACAAACGCAGCGTAAAACATGCTCCCTCATCGATCGTGTTCCTACCTGTAGGGGCGGTCGGGTAGCCTAGTGGTTAAAGCGTTCGCTCGTCACGCCGAAGACCCGGGTTCGATTCCCGACATGGGTACAATGTGTGAAGCCCATTTCTGGTGTCCCCCGCTGTGATATTGCTGGAATATTGCTAAAAGCGGCGAGAAGCCACACTCACTCACTCACTCCTCCTTGTAGAGCCCGCGACATGCCCAGACCTCTCCTGCAGCGACTACTGCATATACGGGCATCTGACGGACCAGAACGGCTGCAGCACGTGCAAGTGCAGAACATGGGGAATTCGTAAGTACACGCAGTTGTCTCCCTTGCACAGTTATGTCCCTTAACACCGCGCGAGATACGTCTGTTGATAAAGTAATTAGATAACTGATATATACATTAGAATTGGAAATATCCTCACCGCCAAAGGAAACCCGACATACCGACAAGTGTGTACGTCAAGAAGAGATGTTTCCAATGTGTACCAATTGATGACAAAACTAACAATCAGTCAAGTGTAAACGCAGTGTGTCTTTATTCTTATCACATGTTGCACGTGATTTCCAAACTTTACACGCTAATCCTGCACGAGACAAATGATGTGTTCATGTGCGTAGGTTTACAGGGTATTAACGTTTGTGCATTGAACCATTCTAATATCTTTTAAATATGAGTTATTATTCATATATTTGCCAACATGTATGGTATCGCGTTTCTTTTTGCGGTGAGTATATATGAACCGTATCTTAACGTTAACTCTACGTGTGGCATTTGCAATTAGTTTTCTAATGTATGTACTGTTCAGTTTACGGCGTACATTGTACAGTTTAAGTACGCGTTCAGCGTACAGTGTCCTATCTCAACGAAGACAATGTTATAGTACATACAATTTCCTTAGGGAAATGATCGTTACGTAAATGAAAACAAATTACCCGTGAAGATCCGTGGTAGAATAGGTTTTGAGCAGCCCATGCTAGTCGTAAGAGGAGACTAAAGGGATTGGGTGGTCAGGCTCGCCGACTTGATTTTGATGCATGTCATCGTATCCCAATTTCTAGGAGCGATGCTCACGATGTCAATCACTGGATTGTCTGGTGAAGACTCGATTATTTACAGACCGCCGTCATATAGCTGGAATATTGCTGAGTGCGGTGTTAAACAACAAACTAATAATTCATCTTTGAAGTCTAAACAACAATTTTACGAAATCATTCACATAATGGTCATAGATAATATGAATGGAGCCAAGATAAGAGTAATCATGCCGTGATATATATATTGTCGCAGTACTAACTTATTGATAAGTTCTGAGCTTCACATAAAAGGAATTGCGTCACAGTGAAATCTTTGACCTCTTTAACTTGGACAAACATGCAGAAAAACGGTTACAAAGGTCATCCTTGAAGATATACTACAACATCAGGGAAGGATGACCCTTCTTATGCCAGGTGACCGCCTCCGTGACATCAGTAACACCAGAAATTATCCAAATAATCCACGATATGGTGATGACCGACCGTCGAATGGCGTCATCTTGCAAGTTCTATAAGCATTCCTATTCCATTATCACAGCTGTGGCAAAGAAGAAAGTATCAGCTCAAAGCGTTTCAAAGCTTCTGACATTTGATGCAAAGACGCACCATCTATCGTTATATCGTTAGAATCTATCTCTGTTTGAAGCTGATCCAGAAAGGTTCTTGCAACGATTTGTGACTATTGATAAAACCTGGGTTAACCCCTACCGGACTGAGTCCAAACTACAACCAAAACCCTGGCATCACCTGACACCATCACCACCACCAAAGAAGGCAAAGACTGTCGCATCAGCTGGAGTGGTTATGGGTTTTGTGTTCGTGGATGCCGAGCGTGTCCTCAAGGCGGACTATCTTCCAAAAAGCAAGACAATAAAGGGAGCATATTATGGTGCAGTGTTGAGGCAATTACGTGATGACATGGGAGCTGAGAAAACAATCCGTCATTAAACAGGTTCATCATTGCCAACGTCGCAGTCCACGATGGTGGCTTGGAACACCTTCCGCACCCGCAATATTCTCCTGATCCTGTCTCTGTCTGACTTCTATCTGTTCCCACATCAGCCATCTCGGACCATATCAGCAACTGTCCCAACCACATCATCAACTGGGACAACGTCCAAATCCTCGCCAACAACCTCCATGATTTTACTAAAAGAAAACTAACAGAAGCAGTCCACATTCGCCGCCACAAGCCATCAATCAACAGAGATCAAGGCTATTTCACCCCATCCGCCTACTATGAACTCATTAAAACAATAATCACGTATCCTGTTTATTGGCTTCATGACCCTATTGGCTTCCAGCTATATGTTTTCTGTCCATCGTGTTGTGACAGCATCATCCCTTTGTTGTCACACCTACCAATGTTATCCCACTCATGTATGCAATTGTTGTTACTGTTAATCCTCTGCTGTTAATCCTCCACCTACTATATATATTCTGTACTATGTCCCTCATTCATCCATGTGCGAAAAACGCTGCAGTCGGAAAGCGCACGTAAAATCTCCAATATAAGTAAGTACCCTCATTCAGTCTTGCTTGACAACAGTATAAGGATCTATACCGAAACGTCGCTTTTTACAGTATTAAAGAAGTTGTTATCCATAAAAATTGTGTCTATCTTGTTTTCACACACGACGAAAGCTCCATCCATAACTCATTTCGACGGTAACGAGGACATCATGGCAGCTGTGGAGTTTTGACAGTTTCATCGTTAGCAAAACTGCTTCAATGAGGATGAGGATAATTTTAGAATATATATCATTTTTATATCTTTAGGTCAATATTTTTTATGTGAGGATCAGAACTTGTCAATCACCACTCATATCGTTGTTGCTAGACTATAGATAGCGTTCCTTCCCCCACAGCCTGTCCCCCTAGGGCGTGTCCTGCCTGTGGGGGGTACCCGTACACGTACCACACCGACCAGAAGGGCTGTCAAATATGCAAGTGCTGTGAGTACACTAATCTACTTACCTGTACACTGTCTATTGTCTACTGATCTGTATGGGGGCACGGGTGGCCCAGTCGTCTAAGGCGCCGCGATTCGCTGTGCAGAGTTGCGTCCCTTGGGCACGCCAGAGACCTATGATTGTGGGTTCGAATCCCGGTTCGCCCCGATTATGTTTCTAGGTTTGTCAGCACCATACCCGTGCTCGTGGGTTTCACCGAAGTGGTAAACGTCTTAGACCTGCATCACTTCGGGCTTTCCTCCCACATTAAGCTGACACGCCGTGATATAACTGGTATACTGTTAAAAGCGGCGTTAAAAACCCAACTCACTCACTCACTCACTACTGATCTGTACGAGGTGACCCGTGAAGAGCCGGGTTGGAATAGGTCTTCAGCAACGCATGATTGTCGTAACAGTCGACTAACGGGATCGGGTGGTCAGGCCGCTGACCTGGTTGATGCATGTCATTGTATCCCAATTGTGTGGATCGGTGATCATGATGTCAATCACTGGATTGTCTGGCCCAGACTATATTATGTACAGACCGCCGTCATATAGCTGGAATATTGCTGAGTGCGGCGTTAAACAACAAACAAACAAACACACTGTATTACGTACTGGATTGTTGTTTCTGTTGCACCTCTTCATCACCATGTGTTGTAATCTGTTTCCACAGCCTGTCCCCTGAGAAAGTGTGTTGCCTGTCCCGACGACAGCTACGCAGTGGACAACTACGGCTGCCAGACGTGTACGTGCCGTGTCACGACTACAACCGCCGCCACGCCACGTACGTTCCTCTTGTTACAGGCGGGTCACGTTGTAAGTGTCTACAAGGGTACGTGACTGAGTGATTAGGTGGGTGGTTGCGTGCCTACGTGAGTGAATAGGTACGTGGGAGGGTGTCGACTAAGTGCTTGCCCGCGTACGTGAGTGGATGAGTAGGTACGCATGTACGTGGCTGCGTGTGTAAGTGAGTGGGTGATTATGTGAGTGGGAGGGTGCTGGTTAAGGTCCTGCCTGCTTCGTACGTGAGTGACTGGATTTGTACGGAGGCGACTGCCTGCGCAAGTACGTGAGTGTGTACATAGATACGTAGGGTATGTGTGTGGGAGTGTGTATATGTTAAGGGGGGGGAAGGGGGGGGGGGGGGGGGGGGGGGGGGGTGCGCGTGTTGAGGCTGGGTGGCTTCAGTGACTTCTTGAAAAGGTACGTACGTGGTTGCGTACGTGATTTTGTGAATAGGTACGTGTGCGTTCGTGATCAGGTAAGTAAGTGATACTGTATGATTGCGTGCGCATGTAGTGAATGAATAGTTACGTGGCCGATGCCTGAATAAGAGCCAGCAGGCGAACGTGTCCGTGTTGCAGAGTGTTGTGACGCGTCTGTTGTTTGTGTTGCAGAGCGTATATGACGTGACTGTTGTTTGTGTTGCAGAGCGTATATGACGTGTCTGTTGCTTGTGTTGCAGAGTGTATATGACGTGTCTGTTGTTTGTGTTGCAGAGTGTATATGACGTGTCTGTTGTTTGTGTTGCAGAGTGTATATGACGTGTCTGTTGTTTGTGTTGCAGAGCTTATATGACGTGTCTGTTGTTTGTGTTGCAGAGTGTATATGACGTGTCTGTTGCTTGTGTTGCAGAGTGTATATGACGTGTCTGTTGTTTGTGTTGCAGAGCGTATATTACGTGACTGTTGTTTGTGTTGCAGAGTGTATATGACGTGTCTGTTGTTTGTGTTGCAGAGTGTATATGACGTGTCTGTTGTTTGTGTTGTAGAGTGTATATGACGTGTCTGTTGTTTGTGTTGCAGAGTGTATATGACGCGTCTGTTGTTTGTGTTGCAGAGTGTATATGACGTGTCTGTTGTTTGTGTTGCAGAGTGTATATGACGTGTCTGTTGTTTGTGTTGCAGAGTGTATATGACGTGACTGTTGTTTGTGTTGCAGAGTGTATATGGCGTGTCTGCTGTTTGTGTTGCAAGGCGTATATGACGTGACTGTTGTTTGTGTTGCAGAGTGTATATGACGTGTCTGTTGTTTGTGTTGCAAGGCGTATATGACGTGACTGTTGTTTGTGTTGCAGAGTGTATATGACGTGACTGTTGTTTGTGTTGCAGAGTGTATATGACGTGTCTGTTGTTTGTGTTGCAGAGTGTCCCGCGGTGAACTGCTCGTCCTGCGGGAATTATGGTTACCGCTACGACAGTTACGGCTGCAGGACGTGCTCCTGTGGTAAGTTGTGTCGTTGATCCTCTCCCATGCTGTATCCGATATCCCATCGCCCTATGTTCATGTGAAACTGATGATATCCCACATCCCTTGTCCATGTATAACTAATAATCAGTACATCGCTATGACTAGTGGCATGATATTTCCATGTCAGAATGATGAGATCTGATTGGTCCACGTGATCTTGATAACATACTTTGTAACCCGGCTTGGAGGGTAATACATGTCTCAGCGGGGAAATAAATCTCTTATACCCCGCCACGATCAAAACAAGCAGCACGTGGATTTTCTCAAAGGCAGCATAAATTCTTTTACCGCTTCAAAGCAAAGAGACGCAAGCTTTTTCCGAGTCAATGGAAGTCACGTGACATAGCACAAGTTACCTCAGCTCAATCGAACAGCTGTTTTCCACCAAGTTTGAATTTGTGTTATTTTTTTTTTTTCAATGTCACTTTAAAACATGTCGGTAAGATAAATTCGTTTTTGCAGGATCACTCGGGCTACATGTGGTTTTATGCGTCCCTCGTTAGGTTTTATACCTAAGGGGTGGAGGCGAGGGGTATAAAACCTAACGAGGAACGCATAAAACCCTATGTACCACGAGTGATCCTGCGACAACTTACAATATCCAACGTATGTAGAGGCATAATTGACGATATCCCATCTGTGTGCCAGCCTGTCCGGCTGTCCGATGTGCCCAGTACTGTCCAGGAGGCTACGCGCTTGACCAGTATGGATGCCTCACGTGCAGCTGCCGTAAGTACCGATTCCATCACAGTGAGTGAGTGTAGTTTTACGCCGTTATTTGCAATATTCCAGAAATATTACGGCGGTGGACACCAGAAATGGGATTTATATATTTTACCCATGTGGAATTGATCCCGGGCCTTCGGCGAAACGAAAGAATCACAAGGGTACCCCACCATGGGCGGATACAGAGAGGGGGTGCGGGGGTGCGCACCACCACCCCCCCCCCCCCCCCCCCCAAACACCCACACCCACACCCCCCCCCCCCCCCCCCCCACACACACACCCACACACACACACACACACACACCCCTCCCTTTTTATTTCGAAAAAAATCTTTATTTTTGTATAAATTACCACCAAAGACAATAAATAGATCTTAATTGTGCACCCCCCACCCCCCACCCACCCCCACCCCTTTTCAAAAAAGCTATATCCGCCCATGCCCACCAACCTCTTGACCATGAGCCCCTGGTCTTGTGCTGTATAGTCGGTGTGTTTGTGGTTATGGCGTCCACCATCTTCCTGAGGCAAGAGCAATCAAACGTTAGGATAAAGAAAATGGAAATGGGTAAGGGAGGTGACTCGTGATGCCTTGTTGTTGATATCCAAACTAAACACATCTACCCGAGGCAAGAGCGTCCACTAGTCTTGTTTCCACCCTTGCCACATCAAGCCCACTTTCCTGTGCTAAATATGATTGGACTATCGCACATATCGATAGTCCAATCAGAGAACGTTTCACAAAACAAAACAAAACTCCCTAACCTGCAGAGAGATTACACCCAGGGTCCACTTGCGCAAAGCCATCTTTGCACTACGACGATCGTAACTCTCATACCTTAACTTAACACAGAACTTACGATAGTTGTAAAGCTAAGGATAATCTTAACGCTACGACTGTCTAACTCTATATATGTGCCCCTTGACGGTTCGGGTTAGAATTGATCAACCCATGCTTGATGTAAAAGGCGATCGATTATTTTTCGGACCGCCGTCATAGAGCAGGTATATTGGTGAGTGTGTCTTTAAAGAACAAACAAACAAAATCTTAGTCTGTGTATATGAGTTAAAATATTGTCTCTGTATAGAGCGAGGCCCTGTTCGGACCATGGGCCCAAAGCAGAGCCAAGATTCTTTGAGTAGATAACTTTTCTCCGTTATCAGACTATCAGGATATACTCATGGTTGCTCTTTAAACATGTTCTTCTTCTTGCTATTGGCAGGCTGCCAGGAACTGCGGTGTGAGCAGACATGCGCACATGGGTACCGACTGGACGCCCAGGGCTGTACCACATGCCAATGTCAAGTCGGTGAGTGCTCGGTCATATTCGGCAAACATTCGGAAATAATCGGGTCGATTGGACTATTCTCTGAGTACACAGACAATCATGCCAATGTCAAGTCGGTGAGTGCTCGGTCATATGCGGCAATCATTCGGAAATAATCGGGTCGATTGGACTATTCTCTGAGTACACAGACAATCAGCAGATACTTAAGGACGGTCGGGAGACTCGGAGATGTACACTTGATTCAGTGATGATAGCTTCGGGTTGAATGATGATCTCGATATATGTAATAATCGGCGTAGACGTGCCTAGGATAGACGCTGTTTGGTGGATTCTTTTGGGTTTGGTCGATTAGAGTATTAAAGGATGACATTAAGTATATTTCCTAAGGGACCCCGGACCTTCCGCTCTCCGGGCGGACGTCTACCACTAGACCACGGAGGCGTTCCAGACGCGAACAGACTCAGCTGTATAAAACACACGGCTCTATATTTCCAGGGCTCGCAATTCGGTAAACCTACACTAAACCCAAGATGCATTCCCGTGGTTCTCAAATTATCCGCCCTTGGTTTTCACTAACACTTTACCGACCAATCGAACGTGCAGACAAAGAAAATGTGAGTGAGTGAGTATGGTTTTACGCCGCTTTTAGCAATATTCCAGCAATATCACGGCGGGGGACACCAGAAACGGGCTTCACACATTGTACCCTCACGGGAATCGAACCCGGGTCTTCGGCGTGACGAGCGAACGCTTTAACCACTAGGCTACCCGACCGCCCCATAAAGAAAAAGTTAATGGGTAAGGGAGGTGACTCGTGATGCCATGTTGTTGATATTCCAACCTAACACATCTTCCCGAGTTAAAAGCTCCCACTAGCCTTTTTTTCAAAGTCTTGTTTCCACCCTTGCCACGTCAAGCCCGCTTTCCAGTTCTAAATAGGATCTGACTATCGCACATATCGATAGTCCAATCAGAGAACGTTTCACAAAATCAACATCTACGACTGGTTCACCTTCGTATGAAAGTGATTGACCGCTGCCTGTCTTTGTTGTCACAAATATGTCATGTCCATCTTTTAAACCCCCTAACGATTGATTATGTTTTCGTGTCGGGGATGAAATCGCAAATTTTATTAGTTATCTGATCGACTAGGTAGTCGCCTGTGGTAGTCGCCATCTTTGTGGAGATATACGAGATAAGAACAGCGATCTGATTGGATATCGCGTTATCATTACAAGGGGCACAACTCGTGATCTACGCGAGGTGACGCCAGGGTCGAACCACGAAAAACAAGGGTAGAAAGTAGGCTTTGATATAGCCTAGTGGACACGCTTGCCTCGGGAAGAGGAACCTAACATTGACGCTGGTTTGTAACACACATTCTGATTGGTTAGCTGGACTGAATAGGGAAGCTAATCAAATTCACGAATGAAAATGAGGGGCGGGAAATTTGAGATCACATGAAATCCAGAGGTTGGGGTAATTTTACCGCAATGTGGGGGTAATTTTACCGCAATGTTTGGGTAGTTTTACCGCAATTTTGAGATTATTTTACCGCAATGTTGGGGTAATTTTACCGCAATGTGAGGCCTGCATGGAGATGTGGAGGATGCTCTAACGGAGGCAATGTCTGTTCCTATTACAGAGTGCCCTGCTGTCAAATGCAGCAAGTTCTGCTACCGGGGTTATGTGAAAGACGCTAATGGCTGCCCTCTCTGTGAGTGTGGTAAGTGTTACGAGGAAATTTCAAGTCGGTCAGTCGCTGCTTTGTCTTTACAAGTGATGCTTGTTCGAAGTGAAAGTATACTGGGATTTATCCTGGGTTAACAGGTACTTTGGGAAAAACTCATTTTATTCAAATTGTGTCAGCGAAATACATATCACTTGTACAAAGCCACTACTACTACTACTACTACTACTACTACTGCTGCTACTACTACTACTACTATATAACGTGATACCCGTGAAGATCCGGGATAAAATAGGTCTTCAGCAACCCATGCTTGCCGTAAAAGGCGACTATGCTTGATGTAAAAGGCGACTATGCTTGTCGTAAGAGGCAACTAACCAGATCAGGTGGTCAGGCTCGCTGACTTGGTTGGTGCATGTCATCGTATCCCAATCACTGCATTATCTGGTTCAGACCGTGATGTAGCTGGAGCATTACTAAGTGTTGCGAGAAACAAAACACAAACACGAATTGAGAAACTTGTAATTCCAATCTGGGAATTTGTAATGACGTTTGCTGTACACCTTGGGGCCGAAGATCGGCCTCAGAGCAGATGTGCCAAGGTAAATCCCAAGTATAGGATTTCAAGGTGTATGTTGTATTTTATAGTTAGATGCTGGTGATCGTCTGTTGACAAGGATTGTTTGACCTTGTTTCAGAGTGCCCAGTCCCGACATGCAACAACTCGTGCCCGGAAGGTTATCAGATTGACCGTTTCACGGGCTGCGCCACCTGCAACTGCAGTAAGACAAATACCCTCTGTCCGTCCACGCTTAGAGATAGCTCACAGAACGGGTTAACACAAAACAACAGCTCATCCCGCACAAGGGTATATCACACATCAACAGCTCATCTCGAACGGGTTATCACACATCAACAGCTCATCTCGAACGGGCTATCACACATCAACAGCTCATCTCGAACGGGTTATCACACATCAACAGCTCATCTCGAACGGGCTATCACACATCAACAGCTCATCTCGAACGGGTTATCACACATCAACGGCTCATTCCGAACGGGCTATCACACATCAACGTCTCATCCCGCACCAACGGGCTATCACACATCAACGTCTCATCCCAAATGGGTTATCACACATCAACGGCTCATCCCGAACGAGTTATCGCACATCAACAGCTCATCCCGAACGGGCTATCACACATCAACAGCTCATCTCGAACGGGCTATCACACATCAACGTCTCATCCCGCACCAACGGGTTATCACACATCAACAGCTCATCTCGAACGGGCTATCACACATCAACGTCTCATCCCGCACCAACGGGTTATCACACATCAATTTCTCATCCCGAACGGGCTATCCCCCATCAACGTCTCATTTCGAACGGGCAATCAAACATCAACAACTCATCTCGAACGGGCTATTCACACATCAACGTCTCATCCCGCACCAACGGGCTATCACACATCAACGTCTCATCCCGCACCAACGGGCTATCACACATCAACGTCTCATCCCAAAGGGGCTATCACACATCAACGTCTCATCCCGAACGGGCTATCACACATCAACAGCTCATCTCGAACGGGCTATCACACATCAACAGCTCATCCCGAACGGGTTATCACACATCAACAGCTCATCCCGAACGGGCTATCACACATCAACGTCTCATCCCGAACGGGTTATCACACATCAACAGCTCATCCGGAACGGGTTATCACACATCAACAGCTCATCCCGAACGGGCTATCACACATCAACAGCTCATCCCGAACGGGCTATCACACATCAACAGCTCATCTCGAACGGGTTATCACACATCAACAGCTCATCCCGAACGGGCTATCACACATCAACGTCTCATCCCGAACGGGTTATCACACATCAACAGCTCATCCCGAACGGGCTATCACACATCAACAGCTCATCCCGAACGGGCTATCACACATCAACGTCTCATCCCGCACCAACGGGCTATCACACATCAACGTCTCATCCCGCACCAACGGGTTATCACACATCAACAGCTCATCCCGAACGGGTTATCACACATCAACAGCTCATCCCGAACAGGCTATCACACATCAACAGCTCATCTCGAACGGGCTATCACACATCAACAGCTCATCCCGAACGGGCTATCACACATCAACAGCTCATCTCGAACGGGCTATCACACATCAACATCTCATCTCGAACGGGTTATCACACATCAACAGCTCATCCCGAACGGGCTATCACACATCAACGTCTCATCCCGAACGGGCTATCACACATCAACAGCTCATCTCGAACGGGTTATCACACATCAACAGCTCATCCCGAACGGGTTATCACACATCAACAGCTCATCTCGAACGGGTTATCACACATCAACAGCTCATCTCGAACAGGCTATCACACATCAACAGCTCATCTCGAACGGGTTATCACACATCAACGTCTCATCCCGCACCAACGGGCTATCACACATCAACGTCTCATCCCGAACGGGTTATCACACATCAACAGCTCATCCCGAACGGGTTATCACACATCAACAGCTCATCCCGAACGGGCTTTCACACATCAACAGCTCATCTCGAACGGGCTATCACACATCAACAGCTCATCCCGAACGGGCTATCACACATCAACAGCTCATCTCGAACGGGCTATCACACATCAACAGCTCATCTCGAACGGGTTATCACACATCAACAGCTCATCCCGAACGGGCTATCACACATCAACGTCTCATCCCGAACGGGCTATCACACATCAACAGCTCATCTCGAACGGGTTATCACACATCAACAGCTCATCCCGAACGGGTTATCACACATCAACAGCTCATCTCGAACAGGCTATCACACATCAACAGCTCATCTCGAACGGGCTATCACACATCAACGTCTCATCCCGCACCAACGGGCTATCACACATCAACGTCTCATCCCGAACGGGTTATCACACATCAACAGCTCATCCTGAACGGGTTATCACACATCAACAGCTCATCCCGAACAGGCTATCACACATCAACAGCTCATCTCGAACGGGTTATCACACATCAACAGCTCATCCTGAACGGGTTATCACACATCAACAGCTCATCCCGAACAGGCTATCACACATCAACAGCTCATCTCGAACGGGCTATCACACATAAACAGCTCATCTCGAACGGGTTATCACACATCAACAGCTCATCCCGGACGTGCTATCACACATCAACAGCTCATCTCGAACGGGTTATCACACATCAACAGCTCATTCCGAACGGGTTATCACACATCAACAGCTCATCCCGAACGGGCTATCACACATCAACAGCTCATCCCCAACGGGTTATCACACATCAACGGCACATCCCCAACGGGTTATCACACATCAACGGCTCATCCCCAACGGGTTATCACATATCAACGTCTCATCCCCAACGGGTTATCACACATCAACGGCACATCCCCAACGGGTTATCACACATCAACAGCTCATCCCGAACGGGTTATCACACATCAACAGCTCATCATTCATGAATATGTCATCACACATCAACGGATTATCTCACATAACTCATAAATCAGAAAGTACGACTTATACAATAATGGGTCTCGTTGGCATGTTTTTTATTGTCATGGTTTCTGTTCGTTAGGCATTTCTACTTTCCGTAGGTGCATTGTTCATTTCAATCGACGCGTTTCCTGTCGTGTTTTTATGTATACGAAACTATAAGTTTATAGGCTGATATACCTCGAAATATTTGCAAGGATATATAATGGTATTACGTGTTATAGGGTATCACGTGATTTCCCTTCAGCATATCGGTGTGAAAGCGTGATGTAGCACGCGCTTGTTTAGTTCTTGGTGTGGTTGTGTAACGTCGTTGTTGATGTTGCAGCGGTGAAGCCGACGTGCCCAGAGTTGGATTGTAGCAACAACGTCTGCAAGGCCGGCTACATGTTCAACTCCAAGGGCTGCGAGACTTGCAACTGCAGACTAGACAGTGAGTTTACCTTTCACCAGACTGTTTGTTTGTTTAATTGTTTAACGCCGCACTCAACTATATGACGGAGGTCTGTAAATAATCGAGTCAGGGCCAAACAATCCAGTGATATATTATATATCAGCTCGGTTGGTGTTTTTTTTATAACACCTTTATTGTAAGGAACACATTTTTTTCAAAACATGTTTTTTCAGAACACATTTTTTTCGGAACACGTTTTTTTCAGGACACCCAGCAAGTCCTGCGGACAATTATTAGTTTTATCTGTATTTCCTGGAACAAATACATTTTTATTGTTAAAACTCAAATTGCACCAAGCAGTGAGTAGACTTTTTATCGGACTGTGAGTAGACAAGAGCAAGAGCAGACACTAGAATACAGGGTCAGCCGACTATCTGCTGGACAATGACTGAGTGAGTGAGTTGGGTTTAGGTTACATCAAGGCGTGTCAGCTTTAGGTAGGAAGAAATCCCGAAGCGACGAAAGTTTCAGGCGTTTTCCGCTTAGCTTGGTACAGGCACGGGCATGGTGCTGACAAACCTGGAAACCTAATCGGCGCGAATTGGGATTCGACCGTCATAGGTTTCTGGCGTGCCAAAGGGTGGTACCTCTGCACGGCAAATTGTGGCACCTTAGACGACTGGACCACCCGTGTCCCCAGTTGCACAATCAGGAGGCATACTAGACAGTGTTTGTTTGTTTGTTGTTAAACGCCGCACTCAACAATGTTCCAGCTATATGACTCCGGTCTGTAAATAATCGAGTTTGGACCAGACTATCCAGTGATTGACATCATGAGCATCGATCCACGCAATTGGGATACAATGACATGCATCAACCAAGTCAGCGAGCCTGACCACCCGATCCCGTTATTCGCCTCTTACGACAAGCATAGCCGCTTTTTTACGGCAAGCATGCGTTGCTGAAGACTACTAGAAAGTAACGCGCTTCAATATGACAATAACATCCTCCCATCTATATGTTTAAGATATTATTGCATCAACCGGAAGCTCTTGGTGGATTTCCCCAATCCATTTTCCGGTGTCCCCCGCTGTGATAGTGGTGGAATATTGCTAAAAGCGGCGTAAAACCATACTCACTCGCTCAAGCGCCGTTGACATAATCACCAGTGACCTTTGGCATCTATTTATATCCACAGCTGTGTGCCCCGTGTTCTTTTGTGCCATCAACTGCCCCCTGAACGCCTATCGCCTCAATGTGGACGGATGTCGTACATGTCGGTGTCAGAACAGCGTCCCGGGTAAGTACTGATTGACGACTGGTTATGTTCTTTTGTGTAAAGCCGCACTCAGCAATATTCCACTATATGACGAGTCTGGTCACGCGATGACACGCAATCAACCAGATCAATGATCTTGACCACTGTACCCATACTCTTACGCCCAACATGCTGGGGACACATTCTGTTGCAGAATGGCCACGAGATTTATTGCTTGTTTGTTTTGTTTGTTTGTTGTCTAACGCCGCACTCAGCAATATTCCAGCTACATGGCGGCGATCTGTGTAAATAATCGAGTCTGGACCAGACAATCCAGTGATTGATATCATGAGCATCGATCCACGCAATTGGGATCAATGACATACATCAACCAGGTCAGCGAGCCTGACCAACCGATCCCGTTAGTCGCCTCTTATGACAAGCATAGTCGCCTTTTACGGCAAGCATGGGTTGCTGAAGATCTATTCTATCCCAGATCTTCACGGGTCACGAGATTTATTGAAGTGAATGAGTCGCTGCCTTGAAGGATATTTCTGTTTTATTATGCCCCAAAGTCAGATTGACCAATCAGAGGGCAGAACTACTAACCCCATACGAGCCCGAGTACCTTCGGTAAAAATCCAAGATGGCTGTTACTGAACCAATATGAGACGGTATACCGTCAGTATCAGCTATTACTGTACAACGTGTCTTTGGTGTTGTACGGTGCTGTTTGTTGGTCGGTGTACTGTACAATGTCTTTGCTGTTGTTCAGTGCTGTGTTTTTTATGATGTACACTGTTTCGTATAGTACAGAAATGAGTTTTTCCAATGTTCATTGCAATTTTTACAATGCGTGAATATTGTTTCAGTAAAATGCATGTTTATTGTCTCAGTAAAATGCGTGTTTATTGTCTCAGTAAAATGCGTGTTTTTGTCTCAGTTCAGTGTCTTTATTGCTGTAGAGTGTATGTTTACCTTGAAATACAATGTGTTTATTCAGTGCAGTAAAATGTGTTTATTGCATCATAGCACAATGTGTTTATTGTCTCAGTACAGTGTCTGTTGATTTGTTGTTTAACGCCACACTCAGCAATATTCCAGCTATATGACGGCGGTCTGTATAATAATCAAGTCTGGACCTGACCATCCAGTGATTGACGTCATGAGCATCGATCCTGACCACCCGATCCCGTTAGTCGCCTCTTACCAAAAGCGTAGTCGGCAAGCATGGGTTGCTAAAGACATATTTTTTATTTTATTTTATTTTTTTGTTGCTAAAGACATATTGTATCCCGGATCTTCACGGGTCACAGTACAATGTGCTTGTTGTTTTCCATTTGTACATTTCCATGTGTGTTTACTGCTTATTGTTGTCACAGCGACCTGTCCCCGACTGACCTGCACGGACGTGGTATGCCCATTCGGGACGGAAGTCGACCCGGACACCGGATGTGACACCTGCTCCTGCAGACTCAATTTTGAAAGTAAGTTCAACATGGCTGATTTCGGTAACGACATGAGGGCAGCTAAACAGGATGTCCCAACAGTTTTCCTGCCACTCGCCACTACACGATTATGCCAAAGATGGGAGAGTCGATTGATTGATTGTTGTAGAACGCCGCACGCAGCAATATTCCAGCTATATGACGGCGGTCTGTAATTAATCGAGTTTGAGGCTATATTATATCACCCGAACAATGAATGGGTCGAGATATGCTTCTCCGGTTTTGTTGGTCAACTTTCGGAGCATCCAACCTCATTTACTACATAATGAATGCCTTCTTGTTACCCTGTCTGGTGCTCGGCATTAAGGGGCTAAAACAAAGTCTAGTCGGCTACTGTGTCTGAGTGGGGTGCCCATGTTAAACTGCGACATGGTATCTCAGACCGCCTCCGTGGTCTAGTGGTAGAACGTCGGTGGTTCGATCCCCGGCTGGATCATACCATAAGACATTAAAAACTGGTACTTGTTGTTACCCTTCCTGGTGCTCGGCATTAAGGGGCTAAAACAAGGACTGTTTGGTTTGTTTCAGTGTTCTGTGTCTGAGTGGGGTATTCATATTAAACTGCGGCATGATATCTCAGTGGGCAAGCACTTTAAAATCAGTCCGAACAAGTACAAGCAGCCACAGTACGTGCATGCACATCGCTATGTAAGAGCAATAATCTTGGACGCAACGTTAAACCCTATTTCACCTCACCATATATTATAGGTGAGGTGAGGTGAAATTGGGTTTAACGTCGCGTCCAAGATTATTGCACTTATATAGCGACGTGCATGCACATGTGTGTGTGGCTGCTTGTACTAGTCCGGACTGATGCCGATTTATAGTGCTATCCCACTGAGATACCATGCCGCAGTTTAACATGAATACCCCACTCAGACACAGTATACTGACTCCTAGCCGACCAGTCCTTGTTTTAGCCCCTTAATGCCGAGCGCCAGACAGGGTAACAACAAGTACCATCTTTTAACGTCTTTTGGTATGACGCGCCCGGGGATCGAACCCGGACCTTCCGCTCTCCGGGCGGACGCTCTACCTCTAGGCCACGGAGGCGGTCCCATATATTATAAAAAACGTGACACACTGTACATGCGGTTACACTTCTTCTCCACAGTGAGAGTCATCAGATGGCAATGGGCTACTGAGGTCCGGAGAAAACGACGTAGTTTGGAATAACCCGGATGTGAAGAAGTAACCCGGATGTATCTCTGCTCCACCAGACATTGTATATGTGTAACTAGTTCATGAGAAACCAACCGGAAGCCTTCACTACATTGTGGATACTGGGAATGTGATTATTTAAAGCTTGCAAACCATTATAATTTGTTTCTTTGACAGTAGTATTAAAAATATTGTTGAATGTAACAGCATGAGCTACTTCTCCCACCACAACATATACTGAACAACAAAAGTTCCTGTGACGTTGAATAAGATGTAATGCAAAGTTATGTTTTTTACCAAATCTGAAACAATTTCGGTTTGCAACAGATAAAAGACTCCTGTAAGTGTTCAAATGGTTTAATTTGCCATACTGACTTAAAAAAATGCGTGATTTCATAAAAAAAAACATGAACATGCCAAAATGTCAATTTACAAATCAATAGCCTGTGTGTCCACCTCTGGTTGTGATGCAAGCAACACATCTTCGTCTCATGGAATGGACCAGGCGTCGCACAAAGTCCTGTGGGATATCTGTCCACATCTGCTGGAGCATGTTTCGAGATTCCTGGAGTGTCTGTGGAACACGTGGTTGACGTCGAAGGCACCACATGTGCTCGATTGGTGAGAGATCAGGGGAGCGAGCAGACCAGGGGATGACATTCACTTTGTTTTGTTGAAGGGAATCCTGAACAAGTCGAGCAATATGAGGCCGGGCGTTGTCATGTAGAAAGGTAATGCCTGGGCCATGACGACGCAAACACGGAAGAACAACAGGGCCGATGATCTTGTCGCGGTAGCGATGTCCATTGAGATTTCCCTCTACCACTATCAAACGGGTCCTCTGTCTTGCTGTAATCTCATCCCATACCATAACGCTGCCGCCCCCAAACCAATCTTCTTCCATGACTCAATGATTGACGTAACGTTCACATCGACGTCGGTACACTCAAATCTGTCCATCGCTGTGGCTGAGGTGAAAACGAGACGCGTCAGTGAATAGAAGTTGTCCCCACTGCATAGTCGTCCAGCGTAGACGCTGTCTGCACCACTGTAGACCTGCTTAAGGGTGGTTTCCTGTCAAAATGGGACATCTGACGGGTCTTCTGGCGACAATCCCTGCACATCTGAGGCGACCTACGTACGGTTTGTGAAGATATTCGTCGAAGGCCAGGGATACTTCTTGCAGTCACTGCTGCTGGCTGGAATCGATTTCGTAGGTGTGTTGTTCGAATCAAGTTGTCTTGTCGATTATTGGTTACGTGTGGCCTGCCACTCCGAGGATGGTCTCTGAATGCATTCGTCTGTTGCCAACGTTGCCATAAACACCAAATGGTTTTTCTGTGGACGTTAAATTGTCTTGCAACATCACGTTGACTCGATCTGCTTCAAGCATACCAATGCCTCGCAGACGCTCATTTTCGGACAGGCGTGGCATTTCGTAATGTTGAATAACTGAGTAATTTTGTTGTTTTTCTGAGTGGTTGTTGTCAGCACGATGCTAAACAATGCATATGGAATCCTGTTAACGCACATGTTTATACCCATTCTTGGGTAGTGAACTGCATGGGGCTTGTATAAAAGTCAACTTTTGCATGGAATGCATGCTTTTCTGTAGCAGTTGCGTTTCTGTGACTTGATTCCCTACATGTACCATAATATTGAAAACCAAACTTTACTTGTTTAAAAATACACTAAAATATTGGTGTCACAGGAACTTTTGTTGTTGAGTATATTTTGCTTGGATGTGACGAAGGCAGTAACAATGGGGACACTATTCAACAAGAACGAATCATGAATTAAGGATTTTTAAAAATATAATTTTATAGTGTCATTTTCGTTCATGTTTGCAGTTACTATTACTGTAAATACCCAGGACTATTCCTGAGGAATGCATTCCCTGTGTTTCCGATATAGACATGTGTATAGATACGCAAAGTGCTATACACGGACATAATTTCTGTTACACGGAATGTTCGGTCATAAATACTGTTTTACAACCACCCACAATGATTTCCTATTTTATAGAAACCGATACTCTAAACTAAACATTATTAAAATCAGTTACCTTTGTAAATATGATGATATATCAACATGGTATATCTTACTTCAGTTCATTGTAATCCAACAAAATGAAAGAAAATCCGGTACATATAGAGATATGAACTTAAAAGAATGAATAGAAAGTACATTGCAGCTACCATCGTCTTTCATAGTAATAGTTGTAACTGTAACCATAAACTTCCAAATGTTAGAATCGCTGTAAGGAAAACAATTGCTCCCTGACATTCAAAAGGGCGCTGGCGCTTCCCCAATCAATCCCGGTAAAGGCTATCAGGGAGCAATCATTGTACAGAAATGTGTGCATCATGAGATTAAGCTTCTATCACTAATATTTCAAAGGATCTTCGCCACTGCGCATACCACACTTGGATAATTACATATTTTGACATAAATATGTTAAAAATCCTGTCTTTTCTTATTATCGGTAATAAAGTTGTCAAACGTACGTGCTTCTTTTGTTGGAGATTTGGAAACGCTTCTGGTACCCTATAATGATCGTGTGGGTTGGTTACTGCAATGAACAGTATTTCAGTTATATCACGGTGTGTCAGCTTGATGTGGGATGAAAGCCAGAAATGATGCAGGTCTTAGAGTGAGTGAGTGAGTTGGGTTTAACACCACTTTTAACATTATTCCAGTTATATCATTGCTGTCAGCTTAATGTGGGAGGAAATCCCGAAGTGATGCAGGTCTCAGATGTTTACCACTTCGGTGAAACCCACGAGCACGGTATGGTGCTGACAAACCTAGAAACATAATCGGGGCGAACCGGGGTTTGAACCCACAATCATAGGTTTCTGGCGTGTCCAGGGGACGCAACTATGCACAGCGAATCGCGGCGCCTTAGACGACTGGGTCACCCGTGCCCCCTCAGGTCTTAGACTTTACCACATTGGTGTAACCCAGGAGCAGGTATGGTGCTGGCGTTTACCACTTTGTTAATAACCACAGTCACCTGGCCGGTGTTCACAAAGCAAGAAACAAAATCTAGGTTTCTTGCACACTGAGTGACCTGCCTCTGCACCAACAACATATTGCAAAGATAAAAAACTTGAACGAAACAATTGTCCTCAGCAATAAGACAGTGGCCTGTAAGAAGACGAGCCTGGACTAGACAATTCAAGGATCAATATTGTGGTTGTTTGGTTTGTTTGTTTTACACTGCACTCAGCAATATTCCAGCTATATGAGGGCGGTCTGTAAATAATCGAGTCTGGACCAGACAATCCAGTGACTGATATCATGAGCATCGATCCACGCAATTGGGATCGATGACATGCATCAACCAAGTCAGCGAGTCTGGCCACCTGATCCGTTTGTCGCCTCTTACGACAAGCATTGTCGCCTTTTACGGCAAGCATGCGTTGCTGAAGACCTATTCTACCCATTGGGGAACAATGACACACTATCGAGCAAGTCACCAAGTCTGACCACCATATCCATTTAGTTACATCTTACCAGAAAAGGTTGCTGGGGACATATTCTAACCCAGAATCCCCACTGGGGTGAAAACTATTCTAGTAGACTTGATTCGGACTGGGTGCTTGGATTGGTATCAGGTACTTTACATTAAACACAACATTTGGTCCATTCAATAGTTTATTGTCCCATGATGGTAAAAGCTAATGATATCAGCAACATCTGGAGATGGACAGGGATGAAAGTCTTTGAAGTTACAATTTACTGTATTCGACGTAATAATAGCCCAGGGAGCTATCAAAATTAGAAATAGGGGCTCTTGTTAGAATATTATTTTGGCGAAAAAAAACAGCGTTGAAAGATAAATTTTGTTGTTTATGCTGACAGCCTGAAATGTTTATACAGACAGATACATTTTTCAAGAATTTAATTGCCCATGATTAAGGGTGTTATAACACTCGAGTGAGTATTATATGGAAATAAATAAGTCGTGTGTACATTGATCAATCGGAAGGGGTGCTAATTGGGATTGTTCACTAGCCAATATATTAGCAAATATCGCTGTGGGCGCTTATCAGAGCAGGGCGCTTATTACGTCGAATACGGTATGTCTATATCAAAATGTTTCCTGAATAATCTCCTGTGATCAGTAAATAATTATCACTGTAGTCAAGTTGGCAGCTCTGACGGAGTGAGAACTCATATTTTGTGTCTTCGAAAAGAGGAAATCTATCACCTTCAAGTCAGTTTCATAGAGAAGGATAAGTTTTCTATAAGTTCTACCTATCAGGAGCCACCAATGTCATCAATGTATCGGCCACAAAGACACTAATAACTAACAACCTACTATGAATTGCAGATTATACGCCAACTGATCTCAGGGCAATCCATATAATGCAAGGAGTAATATGACGTAAGATGTGGGCTGTATGAGCGACCTGAGACATACTATGCACGATGAGTGATTAATAGCTCAGTTTGTCAGAGCAAGTTTATTGCAATCAAACCTTATTTCTAACTTGGACACTCATTTGGTTCACAAAACTTGGTCAAAAGGTCTCAAGATAATGACCATGGCCTTGTAGAACAAAGCGATCTTAGCGCCACAAAGATCACAGGCCTATGATAAAGTATGGGAGCTGCGACCACCTTAGCGCTAAGATCACTTTGTGTAACAGGCTTGTATCTGTTCCTTCCATAAGACATGGTGGTCTATTTTATGAGTATATTCAATTACAGTCTGCACATAATTATATTTTCCTCTTCATAAGACGTTTCCTACTTTCTTTCTTAAATGATAATTTCCTGCTGATTCCAACCAGTAATCCAAATCATGATCATACCAGTAATACTTACAAACCCCCAACCACCATAATTTCAGTTTTGATGTTTACAGATGAATAACAAAATGTATATTGATAGTATTTTGGCACATCTTGCTTCAAGTCGACTGACTGAATGATGTCTTTGATACTGAGCATATATCAGCCATGCATATGGTTTCGACACATACACTCTGGGCAGTTGACAAAAGGACTAAATTTGGACCATATTTTTCAGAAATACATGAACATATATTTAGAGAATTCAAGCTTTCCGAAATGACGTGGAATACTTGTCTGAAGTGTCATGATCCATAGTTTCAATTAAAAATAACAGAAACAGCTTTCTGATATCAATCACAGAATCTGTCCAACAGATTGGACATCTCATTGTGTTGTTGCGAATGTTGAAGCAAGCAGCCACAGTTCCTGTTAACAAGGCGTCATTGAAATTGGAAATCTCCCCACCTCGGAGAACAGATACACACGTGACACCCAGATCAAGGTTTCCACATTTTGAGAAGTCCATCCTCGGAATATGTTGATATCAAGTTTTGATGAGGATGATGACAGATGCCAATAACGTCCTTTTCATGAACCTGAAACAAGTTTTAGATTAACTTATATTAATTATATCATATGTTGTTTTCACTAAGCTACAATGTAATATTTGTTTGTCTGTTTGTTGTTTAACGCCTCACTCAGCAATATTCCAGCTATATGGGGGAGATCCGTAAATAATCAAGTCTGGACTAGACAATCCAGTGACTGACATCATGAGCATCGATTCACGCGATTAGGATACGATGAAATGCATCAACCAAGTCAGTGAGCCTGATCACCCTATCCCGTTAGTCGCCTCTTACCACAAGCATAGCCGCCTTTTACGGCAAGCATGCAAGCATCATAGTCAACAACTTCAGTTAAATGACCAGCATAGGTTGCTGGGGACTTATTCTTGTCAGAAATCCTCAAAGGGGCTTCTGTGTGGGTTTTTCAAGCTGTTTCAATCTCTTTATAAAACCAATAAAGGACCTATTCTAAGCCGGGATCACCACAGGGGCTGCTGTTTGTGTTTTTTAAGCTGTTTCAATCTCTTTATAAAACCAATCAAGGACCTATTCTAAGCTTGGATCACCATAGGGGTTCATCTACTTACTGTGAGAGTTCTCTCAAGCTTCCCGGTGGTAACACTGAAGCAGTAGAGCACCATGTCCTCCCCCACGCAGTATATCCACTCCCCATGGGGGGACAGCGACGCACACACAAAGTCTCCACCCTCTCGCTTACCACTGGAGAAACTACGCACAATCTGGAAGTAGCACACATCGCGTTAAGATAAATATAATAATACAAAATTGATTCACATACAAAGTTCGTTGGTTTGGTATTTCGAGCTAGATCATAGTGGCCTGAAAGTAATCACATCTCATAAACCAGTCATTGACGTTATGAGCAACGACCCATGGCAAACAAAAAACAATTTTCTCATGAGACAGGACTAACAATATTGAAATCATGATGGTGTCATACTATTGTTCTCCCTGCTGATTCTGAGCCAAGAATTCACAGTCCATTTTGAGTGAGTGAGTGAGTGAGTTGGGTTTAACGCCGCTTTTAACATTATTCCAGTTATATCGGGGCGTGTCAGCTTAATGTGGGAGGAAAGCCCCAAATGATGCAGGTCTCAGACGTTTACAGCTTCGGTGAAACCCACGAGTACGGGTATGGTGCTGACAAACCTAGAAACATAATCGGGGTGAACCGGAATTCGAACCCACAATCATAGGTTTCTGGCGTGCCCAAGGGACGCAACTCTGCACAGCGAATCGCGGCGCCTTTAACGACTTGGCCACCCGTGCCCCCCAGTCCATTTTGAACACATTTTAAGCAAGTAAAACTAACACAACAATAGGTCAAAATTATAGAGAAATTATAAATCACCCATAACACGGCTGAAGTCAAAGAAAGCACTAGAGTCTGTTGATTCTTATGATTTCTCCACAACTTAGGGGTCCCTCTTTTTTTTTTAAGAACTATATAATAGCAGCACCTATGTATGTATGAATTGCTGATCCCGTGAAGATCCGGGTTAGAAAAGGTCTTCAACAACCCATGCTTGCCGTAAGAGGCGACTAATAGGATCTTGTGGTCAGGCTTGCTGACTTGGTTGATGCATGTTATCGTATCCAAATTGTGTAGACTGATGCTAATGATATCAATCACTGGACTGTCTGGTCCAGACTGAATTATTTACGGACCACTGTCATATAGCTGGAATACTGCTGAGTGTGGCGTTAAACAACACCCAGACAAACAAATTCCTAAAAATCTTTATCCACAGAAAAGAGAAACTAGGTGACCAAGTCTTCTCAGTCTCACAGCTGTGTTGTAGGTTCCATAAGAGTCCAGACATGTGAAAAACTCAGACACGTTGTAGTTGTTCGTTTTGTTTAAGCCGCACTCAGGAAAATTCCAGCTACATGATGGCTGGCTGAGGTCAGACAAAACCCAGGGTCAGTATCAACCAAGCCACCAAGCCACCAAGCCACCAAGCCAGTCGTTTGTTTTGTTTGTCTGACCGTTGTGTAGTGCTGCCCTCAGCAATATTCCAGCTATATGATGGTAGCCAGTCGGGCATGTCTGGACCAGACAATCCAAAACATGATATTGTAACCAACGATCAATGTAGTACTGAACATGCTCTAAACCAAGTCACAAACCTGACCATCCTATCAATGGTCGCCTCTTACAACCAGCATAGGTTGCTGGGGACCTGTTCTAACGCAGAATCTCATGCAGTTGACTATCTCCTTGTAGGACATAATCAGCCCGCAGGGTGTGATACATATGGTCAAAGCAAACCGTTATCACAGCTGTACATTTGACATTTCTGCACATTTATTTAACCTAGCGGTAACTGCCTGAAGTTAGCACTATAAAATTAACTATTATTTGTAGGATTATTATCCAGATCACTAATGTTCAAAGTCTATGCGTCTGAAAAGAAGGTATCATTAACCTGCAAGGTTTGACCTTGACTTCCTAAAGGGGGAGTCCAGGGGACCCCAATAATTAATTTTAAGGGTCCTTGCAGGCAATATGAGGGTCCTGTGAAGTAATGAAATGGTGTAGTGTACTGTACAGTTTGATAATTTCTTTAGAGCCTGGAATGAATCAATGATCATGTGGACAGTGGTCATGATTGATGGGTGAAATAACAGACACCCATAACTGATCTTGATGCGCTGTAGGTACAATGAACATTATGTGTCCCTTGGGCATCTTCCCGAGCAAGAGTTAACTGACTTTAAAAGTCCAGTTTCCACCCTTGCCCAACTAGGCTGGAATTCCTGGGCTCGATCGTAGCGCCACCAGTGGTTTTTACGAGTTATGTCCCTTCTAAGCCTCTCCTATGGGCCATTTCAAACAAAATGGCGGCGTCCAGTCAAGACGATGTGCTCCATAATCAAGATCTATATAGTGATAAAACAGGTCTTACATCACGAAGTGCATTAAATCATGCGAGCACATTGATTAAAAACATGAAAAGGTTTGGAAAATATCTGTTGACAAGTTGGTGGTGCACATGCTTTGCAAATTCTGCAATCAACCGAAATCTGAAAGACAGTTAACGAACCAGATATCGATTTCATAACGCGATTTTGATTGGACTATGGATAGACTCGTTAGTCCAGCCAAAATGTAACTCCATAATACCAGCCTAGTTCGACAAGGGTGGAAACTGGACTTTTATACTCAGTTAACTCTCTTGCCTCGGGAATATGTCCCTTGGGATGCAGTATATATTTTTCAGCTTCCATTCTGTACATTTGCATGTACTGGACACACGTTTGTGTGTCCCCTAAAACCATGAACCTATAATCAAAATGTGCACATAAAATATCCAGAACAATCGGTAGCTCTTGAACTATTTCGGCATGCTTGAGTCCGATATCTCTGTGCACCATTGGATAAGCGTATGATCTCCCACGGCCTACATACCTGGCCCTGCAGGTTCATGATGACGACAGTGTTGGATCTGTTACACACAATAAACTGCTCCACATTTCTGGGCAGCGGGTGGACGCTGTGCACTGTGATGTCGGTACCGGTTGTACCCCCAAGGGACTTAAAGGTGCTCTGGCACTCTGTTGACTTGACATTCCACACTTTCACTGTACCGTCGGAACTTGCACTGAAAATGTCAGGGTGAAATAACTGGACATCAACAGAGAAGATTAACAGGTTAGAAACTAAGTTTGGGTGAGGTCCTTGGGGTTTGCAAACTATAGCAGAAGTACAGATAAGCATGTTTTTGCGTAAAATACCCCCCCTCCCAAAAAAATAAATAAAAATATTCAAAGCCCAATTACTTTCAATTAACTTGCTTACAGAAACTCATGCATTAAATGAAAAACTCAATCGTTTGAAAACAGCACGCGTAAATACCCAAATGAAGTTTTTTCAGCATGCGTAAAACGGAGCTAATTTCAGAAACACAATGAGCTAATGAACTTTCCGAGTCAAGCCTATATTTAGAACCATAATATACATCTAAAACATTATTTCATTTTTTTGAAATCTCAAAATGCTTACTCATTTTAGGAAAAACCAAATAGAGTAGTGAATAGATGAGTGAAAAAAATATTGGTTACCCCCAAAAAAATGTAATAAACCAATCAAAACAGAAACCTTCAAGTAAAAACTCAATTGCTCAAAAAGTTATCTGGAGCTCTGCTACAGTATTCAAATCAGTGGACTCCCCGCTCTTTGACATTCAACATTAGGGTTATGTAAGGGCCCATTGACTTGCATGCTTAATTCCCATCACTGATGTGTATTCAATCATTTCAATAATTTTGCCAAGAAATGAAACAACTCCACTGATGATAATGTGTCGAAATATATTTAAAAATAGGGCAGTGAATGTCTACTGCTACACAAAGATCTGAGAACATCCAATTACAGGTCAAGTCAGAACTACCTTTCATCCAAGTTTTGCTCACGAGATCGAGGAAGAGAAAGTCTGTATGTGTCTTATAGTCAAGCAGCCTTGAAAAGGTTAACATGGGGCATTCTGAACAACAGTTATGAGCTGTACGACGGACTCTGAATGCTAGAATGTTTAGACGGATAACATTTGAAACAGAAGAGACTTTTCAAAGCCCGTGGGAAGTACCGCCATCTTTTAGGCATTCCAGGATTATATTTTGTTCACTGTGAATCGAGAACTTTGTCAAAATATCTTTAAAGCGTTGTCAGGAATGAATATCGCCATTTGAACTCGTGCTGTAAAGCACGTCGAGAAAGCTGCATTCTGATTACATAATGTTGACTTCCTGTTTGTTATTTCAATTATAGAATGGCGATACACTGGATAACTGAGGATGACACATTGCATGTAGAACTTTCTCCTGTAATACTGCTCGATGTTACCATATGTTTTTGTCATCAGTATCTGTTGAATAGATCCAGTTTTTACTCAGAGATTTCCAAGTGAGGGGAGACGTCCATGTTGTTAAATACAGGTTGTCAGCAATCCATGTCAATAACTGAGTTTGCATGTGTGAGAGACCTTCCACTCTCAGGGCAGAAACTGTAAATCTTGAAACTAATGCGTCTCCGAATTAATATGATTGCTGACCCTAGCCAAAACTGGTACACAATATTAATATTTGATTCATGTTCGCGTTAGTTTCAAGATTTACAATACTCTATCCATGAGAGATGATCAACACCACTGCATAATGATGACCTACCATCAATCAGGACAAGTATCGTGACCACAACAGAATAATATGCACACCTCTACAAACCACCATCAAGTTTTTCATTATTCTAAGGAATTAATGAACTTCAGACTGAGCTAAGGGCAAGTTCATCGTTTTAACTTCCATTTTTTTTCAAATTATTTTTTATCCCTCAGAGGATGCTATTTCGTGTTTTGTTTGGACAGCCTACTGTCCTACAGTGGGCACTACTATAAAAGTTATGTACTCGATGAAAAATGTATGTAACAGTGTTATTTATATATAATGTACATCAATTTCACTACTATATGTAGTTATCAAGTTTCTCCGCCACAAAACGGAAATTCTACCACGAATTTGGAAAATACTCGATTTTGATTGGTTAATCAGAAGTACCAAATCACAATAAACCCCCTCTGATTGAAACAGCCCATTTGATGGCCACATCACCGCAGAAGCTAATATTAGTAGAATAGTATTTCTTTTACAGTCACTGTCGGTAGGCATATCTAAATAACTATATACATACACTTACAGGTCACAAAATCCAAAGTTGCGGTTACTACAATATTCAAAGGATATGTGGCAATACATTTCGCGCAGAAAAAAAGGATAGAAACGTACAAAGAGAATGAATGAGGACAACAGATGCTTTTCTAACTACTACTGTGATGTCCTATCTTTCGTGTCACCACGAGCGATATGACATCATAAGAGTGTCATGCAGTCTAGAACGAAATCTTTGCAAGGCTTGCTTAGTTTTCTTAAGGGGTGCCCACCTCATGTTAGCTTACGAAGTTCCAGGTTGAATATACAGGTAACCTAGCTCTATATGAAAAACACTGTGTTTATCTCCCAAGCAGCATACATAACAATGTATAATATGTACTTCAATATATCTTACTGATCTATAGATGCTGTCAACACAATGATCCTCGGCAGTATTGAACATGATGGCGACTTATTAACAACACATTTGCAACATTAAATTGACGAAGAAAACAAGAGAGCTAGGGTCAAGTTACCTGATAATATGATGGCCATCAGGTGTGAACACTGCATCGTTAACAAATGATGTGTGGCTCCTAAACTCCTTCAGCGTTTTACCTGATTTCAAACCATGTACTCTGAAAACAAATATACAAATTTACACTTACACAATGTAAGGTGATGAGTGAGTTGGGTTTAACGTCGCTTTTAACAGTATTCCAGTTATATCACAGCGTGTCTGCTAAATGTGGGAGGAAAGCCTGAAATGATGCAGGTCTCAGACGTTTACCACTTCGGTGAAACCCACAAGCACGGGTATGGTGCTGACAAACCTAGAAACATAATCAGGGACCCGGGACTCAAACCCACAATCATAGGTTTCTGGTGTGCCCGAGGGATGCAACTCTGCAGTGAATCCTGGTGCCTTAGAGGACTGGGTAACCCGTGCCCTCTTGTAAGGTGTTGAAAGGAGTTTAATCATGTTCAAGATTATTGGACTTACATAGTTCTCTCTCCGTGCGTGAGTACGCGTTTGTACAACTCTAGACTTAATGCCGGTTTTATGGTGCTAACATGGATACCCCATTCAGACATAGTAAACTGACTCTGAGCCCACCAATCCTTCTTTTGTTTTCTTCTTGCTACCAGGCAGGGCAACAACAAGAACCATCTTTTAACACTTTTTGTTATGACCAACCAAACATGATCTTCGCTCTCAGGGCAGACCCACTGTCCACTACACCACAGAGGTGGTCTACACAAAATATAACCTAGCCAGAAGTACAGTAAATTATTAATAGATTTTCATCTAAATGTGCAAAAACTGGTTGGGATGAATATTGATGAGCACCACGTACCTGATGGTCTGGTCAAAGGAAGCACTGAGGAGCTGGCTGTTGTCCCTGGCGAAGGTGATGGAGGTCACGCCTTTGTTGTGTGCCTTCTCAAACTTCCGGAGACACTGGCCAGTCAGGATCTTCCACACCTGAAGTCAGACACAGCAGTCACAAAGCAGTGATTAGGACTCTGTATTGGCAATAAATTGGGAGTGCAATATATTGCGATACAGGTATCTGTATCCTGATACGTATTGCGATACATTGGGAGCTCAAGTGTTTGACAGTGACTGACTCTGATTGTACATGCAGATCCTATTTTCTACATACTAAAGTAAATATTGCTCAACATGGTCAGAGCCCGTGAAGATCCGGGGTAGAATAGGTCATCGAGTCTGCCCACCACATCCTTTACATTGCCTCCCACAAAAAACTGTCAGTGGCCAACATGGCGCCCTGATTTACTTGTCCTGCTAAAGTCTCAGACTGAGAGACAGTGAGACTCATCTCTATCTACCCTTCATGCTAAACTCTCAGACTGAGAGAGACACATCTTAGTCCACCTGTCAACCTAAAGTCCTAAACTGACACAGAGCGAGTGAGTGAGTTGGGTGGAGTGTCGCTTTTAACAGTATTCTAGTTATATCATGGTGAGTCAGCTTAATGTGGGAGGAAAGCCTGAAGTAGTGCAGTGTCAGACGTTTTACCACTCGGGTATGGTACTGACAAACCTAGAAACATAATCGGGACGAATCAGGATTCGAACCAAAAAAGGGGCGGGTAGTATAGTGGTGTCCACTGCTGTGATATTGCTGGAATATTGCTAAAAGCAGCGTAAAACCATACACACTCACTCGAACCCTTGATCACAGGTTCCTGGCATGCCCAAGGGACGCAACTCTGCACAGCAAATAGTGACGCCTTAGACGGCTGGGACAGCCGTGCCCCTCCAACTGACACAGTGTGAGATACTCACCTTTATCTTTCCATCCTGGGCCCCTGTAGCCAGCATCTCAGAGTCCCTGCTGAAGCTCATACACAACACTGCATCATCCATCATCATGAAGTTATCCTGAAGCAGGAAGCACTGCCTTTAACACCATCAGGCATCACCTTGATTTACTGATTTGACCGAATACAGCCAAAAGCGACGATAATAAAATGAAGACAGTTCAAATTTTTTTTCTTCTGCTCGACTATCCCATCTTTGATGGATTAGAAAAAGAAAGATCAAAACATAAAACATACAAACTTAGAGTAACTATTCAGTCACTTAGCATGCTGAATACATCCATGTTGTAAAGGGAATCAACATTTTGGGATTGAAGTAAATACGGTTTCGTCACCATGTAACTGAAGCAATATTTAACATCATGAACCTAAAATAGCATCAGCATTTAACACTGAGACACATATTTCCATGACAGCTTCAAAGGGATACCCTGCCAAAGTTTTCGAGGTTATTAGCATGAATGAGGTGATGTAAGTATGGTCCTGACAATCCTAGAAATAGAACCAGGGTGAATATGGTAATCATCCAACAATTATTGGTTTCTGGCATGCCTAAGGGACACAACTCTGCAGAGCAAACAAATTGCAAACGTTTAGATGACTGGAGCACCTGTGCTCCCTGTGCAAACTTGAAGCTCACCTGTGCTTGATATCTCAAATCCTTCCTGATCTTGCCGGTGGTGAAGTTCCACACCTCGATAAAGCCGTCCACAGACCCAGTCACTAGGTACTGACCATCGGGGGAAAATCTTGCACACTCCACATGGGCCTTCTGACCAAACTGTAACACAGGCATCAGATATAAACATCAGACAGTCACTACTTAGTCTTTTCAATCCCGTGAAGATCCGGGTTAGAATCATCTTCCCGAGGCAAGGGAGTTAACTGACTATAAAAGTCTAGTTTCCACCCTTGCCGAACTAGGCTGGAATTCCTGGGCTCAAACCGTAGTGCAACCAGTGGTTATTATGAGTTATGTTCTAAGCCTCTCCTATGGACCAATCAGATTCCACCTCTCGTATCACTTGCATTTGTTTCAAACAAAATGGTGGCGCCCAGTCAAAACGATCTGATTGATAATCAAGATCTATATTGTGATAAAACGGGTCTTACATAGCGAAGTGCATCAAATCACGTGAGCACCTTGATTAAAAACATGAAAAGACTTGGAAAATATCTGTTGACGAGTTTGCGGTGCACATGCTTTGCAAATCCTGCAATCCACAGAAATCTGCACGACATTTTACAAACCGGATTTCGATTTCGGTGTGCGATTTTGATGGGACTATGCATAGACTCGTTAGCCCAGCCAAAATGTAACTCCATAATACCAGCCTAGTTTGGCAAGGGTGGAAACTGGACTTTTATAGTCAGTTAACTCACTTGCCTCGGGAAGATGGGTTAGAATAGCAAATCTTCAGCAAATGGAGACTATGCTTGTCGTAAAGGCGACTAACGGGATCAGGTGGTCTGAATATTGCTGAGTGCGTCGTTAAACAACAAACATGCAAGCAAACCAGGGCTCCGTTTCACAATAACATCAATCTGATTCATGTGTAATTGTGACCCGTGAAGATCCGGGATAGAATAGGTCTCCAGCAACCCATGCTTGACATGAAAGGCGACTATGCTTGTCGTAAGAGGAGACTAACGGATGGTCAGACTCGCTGACTTGGTTGATGCATGTCATTGTATCGCAATTGCGTGGATCGATGCTCATGATGTCAATCACTGGGATGTCTGGTCCAGACTCGATTCTTTACAGACCACCATCATATAGCTGGAATGTTGCTGAGTGTGGTGTTACAGAATAATTACAACTAAGGATGAGAGTTATCTCCCTTTCATCACTTGGGACTCACTGACACTTACAATGGGGTAATGAATGAGTAAGTTGGATTTTACACCGCTTTTAGCAATACCCCAGCAATATTGGCACAAGCAAATGGCTTCACACATTGTGCCCATGTGGAGAATCGAACCTGGGCCTTTGGCAATGGGGAGCAAACGCCTTAACCATTAGGCTACCCCACTGCCCCATTAGGATTGTGAAAAGATGTCTACCTTGATTGTCTTGCTGAGCTGTGTGGGATATTTCTCCTCCTCCTGTTCCTTGACTGCAGCCTTGCCTCGGAACACATCAATAGTTGTTCCTGAAATAAAGGATCATGTATGTATTATCAAATAAAACAGGGTAGATACTAAAATGTGGACTGTGGCCCTCGGAACACATCAATAGTTGTTCCTGAAATAAAGGATCATGTATGTATTATCACATAAAACAGGGTAGATACTAAAATGTGGACTGTGGCCCTGGGAACACAGTAATAGTTGTAGCTGGAATAGAGGACCATGGTATTATCAGATAGCGAAGCTCGATTGAAGGAAAATTATGTAACTTGCACCAGGTGCATGTCGCCATGAAAACCAAGTTGCACAAAACAAAACCAGGTTGCACCCTGGTCCCATAAATTTATCAGAGTTGAAATGTAGGCCGGTCTGCTGCCAGTGTCACATAGATTAATGACACATTGCTGCAAAAAGCAATAGGAACATGTGCCCACAGTCATGATGAGTCATTCATAAGAAAGTATGACAAATTACACATAACACAGGGGTTAGTGATGTGATGTGGTAAATAAAGTTTACAAGTAGTGAGTGCGTTCAAAGGTTGAATTTGTGGCGACAAGTAAGTCAGACACAAATCTTAAAATATTTGACATGAACTTGGTGCATGTAGACATAAATATTAGGTTGCACATTTCAATAATTGGTGTACAAATGTACATGTTTTACATAGCTGAATCGAGCCCTGGATCATGTGGCTAAAAAAAAATTAGTCTTGGTTCTCTGGCACCTTCCACACCATCATAAAGTCCACTGCACATTTTGTTTTTATTTCCATTATAAAAAAAATTCCTAATACTTAAAAACAATGCAGTCCAAAATATCACACAGTTACTTCTCTTTACATGCGCACTGCTTTACTTCGTACCCCATGTTATGGTCATGGCGGCAATAGGACTTTGCATGCTTGTTTATGTAGGGAGGCCCTTTCCCAGGTTGTTGGTACACAACTGTTTATTTGGTTACGTAGTAGTTTAACAAGCAATAAAGAAAAACACCATCCGCCCGCTCTATATTCTCAAAAGCCATTGCCTGAGAACTAGGGCCGTTACGATTCACTCGCGTATTCGGTGAATCGAACTGTATCCATTCATGAATTGAATTTGTTATTCGTGGCCACAAGATTCGAATATTCATGAATATGTAGTCATGTGCATTTACTTACCCTGTACCTAAAACATCCATAAGAACATACGATATGCAAAGATTTCTTTAACTCTTATAATATTTAATTTGACAGGAATTTGGTCACTGGTCATTGTAGCATTTGAGCAGATACTAAGACTAAGTACCTGGACAAGTGCAGTAGATAAATGTATCATATAGAAAATTAACAAACCATGTCAAATAATTTATGTTGTTAATGTTTCACTGAATATACCAAAAAATACATCAACTGCTGACTTATTACTGTATTCGTGAATTAACATTCGTATTCATTACCCTATATTCGTGATACGAATGGTATTCGCCTCATAATGTATTTGTTGCAGCCCTACTGAAAACCAATTATTTTACTTTTTTAATCCTAAGCTACCATCTTGTGGACAGCTGCTAAATCTAACGCGGATGCGGCCTGGCCTACTGAGAACCAATTCTGTTACTTTTTTAATCCTAAGATACGATCTTGTGGACAGCCGCTGAATATAACGAGGATGCGAACTGGCCTACTGAGAACCAATTCTTTTACTTTTTTAATCCTAAGATACGATCTTGTGGACAGCTGCTAAATCTGACGAGGATGTGACCTGGCCTACTGAGAACCAATTCTTTTACTATTAAGCCTAAGATAAGATCTTGTGGACAGCTGCTGAATCTGACAAGGATGTGACCTGGCCTACTGAGAACCAATTCTTTTACTATTAAGCCTAAGATAAGATCTTGTGGACAGCTGCTGAATCTGACAAGGATGTGACCTGGCCTACTGAGAACCAATTCTTTTACTATTAAGCCTAAGATAAGATCTTGATGACACCTGCTGAATCTAACGAGGATGCGAACTGGCCTACCTGGAGGCAGGAGACCCTGGTGCTGCTGCCACTTGAGGGCCTGACCCAGCAACGCCAGGAGACGAGACGGTGGCACCACGTTCACCTCACCGGCGAGAGCTGTTGCAATGGCATTACGTCGCTTTTCTTTTGTTTGTCCCTCTGGATAAGCCTACAAGGGGAAATGGGGAAGAAGAATAATATAGGTGATCATTATAGTATCTGCCAACAAGAATACTTTTCAATAAAAGATTTATTCATATGTTCATAATATTCCATGTGTTTGTTTGCTTGTTGTTTAATGCCGCACTCAGCAATATTCCAGCTATATGATAGCGGTCTGTAAATAATCGAGTCTGGACCAATCCAGTGATTGACATCATGAGCATTGATCTATGCAATTGGGATCGACGACATGCATCAACCAAGCCAGGTTTGTCCAGTGTTTAAACTGGTCCCATATATATAGCAAACTTCATCACAAGGTATTTTTATAAGGCATAAACTTTTGTAAAGCATATAGCAGTATATCGGCATACCATGTAGTCCTTGTGATGACCCACCTCCCCAATGAAGATCCTAAGTAGAATAGGTCTTCAGCAACCCATGTTTGTAACAGGTGACTATCGGAATCAGGTGGTCAGGCTCGCTGACTTGGTTGAAGCATGTAATTGTATCATAATTGCGTAGACAGACATCATGGTGTCAATCCATGGATTGTGTGGTCCAGATTAAATTATTTACAAGACCACCCTCATATAACTTGGTTATTGCTGAACTAAGCTTAAATTGAGAAATAAACGAGTGGGTGTACAATAAAACAATGCAGGGACTGGTTTATTCTTCCTTCAGTGTTTTATTGTTTGATGAACAACAACCACAAGTCATTTATTTCTTATACAAGATATCAACATTATGTAAAGCCTCTTTAAGGATGTTGATAAAATTTACAAGCTTTAAAACTATTTACCCAATTTTTAATAATGATGACTCTCTGAATAGAATCCAACCTCAGCAATGTAGGACAACTTCATTTCACAAACAGGTGGGTTTAGCTTGGCATTTCGTGCATATTCTCACTATCTTCAGATGGATTACCTTTTCTCCTAATACCGATTGTCATATCTCTCCCACTTTTGGATATGTTTACCTGCATAGCCCAAATACAACTATTGGAACAAATTACTAGACACTTCCCTCTCAAAAATAACATCGTCCAATGTTTGAGGTCATCAAGTTTCGAGCGCATATTTGAATTTTCAGAAATGACGTGATGACAGAACAATGTCTTATCCAGAAATACACTATGCTTCTTTCTTCATTGTTCTTTCCGATTTATAAATCTACCTTATATTAATAAGACCGCCTCCGTGGTCTAGTGGTAGAGCGTCTGCCCAGTGAGAGGAAGGTCCGGTGTTCGATTCCTAGCCAGGTCATACCAAAAGATGTTAAAATATGGTACTTGTTGTTACCCTATCTGGCGCTCGGTATTAAGGGGCTAAAACAAGGGCTGATCGGCTCGGAGTCAGTATACTGTGTCTGAATGGGTATTCATGTTAAACTGCGGCATGGCATCTCAATGGGCTAGCACTATAAAATTGGCATCAGTCCAAACTAGTACAAGCAGCCACACACACACACACACACACACACATGCATGTCGCTATATAAGTGCAATAATCTTGGACGCGACGTTAAACCCCATTTCACCTCACCTTATATCAATAAATAAGGGGACCTACCTCTCTGGGGTCGAAGTAGGACCTGGACAGCATGTTCTCCAGATGGATGTATCTGTCCGGCTGGTTGTGCTTCAACATGATCATGGGGTCGGTCTGACGGAGCAGCGACCTCGCAGCTCCCAGCTCACGCAACTCAATCAGCTCCAGGACAATCTGAAATCACAGAAACAGGGAGAAGTCAGCTAAAGAGTATTTCTTTCTATGATTAATATGATTTTAATTTAAGATTCCAAAACCATATGACGTGTGTGAATTTTTTATGGTAAAATTTCAATATGTATTTTTTAGAGTAAAAATATCATTTATACTTATCCTGACTCATACTAATTGCTTATCTCTTCTTATTCCTGAAAGGTAGTGGAAACTTCCTGTGCTGTGTTCTAGCACCAGTAATAGTTTCTAACTGATGGACAATATTGTTGTGTCCTTATCTACCTGTTCATACAGCTCTATCAGCTTGTTGTCGGGCAGCTTTAGCGTCTGTATAGCCTGCAGCACGGTGTCCCAGTGACCGCTGTTAATGTCACTCACAAAACTGTCCACCGAGTCTACTGTGTTCAGTGAGATCCCACTCTCCTCCTGGAACAGATTACATCAACTGTAGAATACACGCACAAAGATGATGCTTTGCCAACGGGAGGCAACACCTCAAATCAGACAATAAAACATACACAGCTTGATATTTTTATTATTTGCCTGGGTCCCGTTGTACAAAACAACCTTAGCACTACGACTGTCGTAAGTCTATTTTAAGGTATAGGAGTTACGATCACCTTAGCACTAAGATCGCTTTGTACAACGGCACCCTGACCAATCTATGTTTGGATTAGAAAAATACAGCTACAAAAAACAAAACAATTAGTCTGTGCAAAAAACGTGTGAGTCTACTTGCCTCTAATTGCCGCTTTATATCATTGTGTGCACATTTACCGTATTCGACATAATAAGCGCACAGGGCGCTCTCAAAATTAGAAATAGGAGGCTCTTATTAGAATATTATTTTGGTGAAAATAACTCTGAAACAGAACTAAAGGATAAATTTTGTGGTTTATATGAAATGTTTATATACGACAGATATATTTTCCCAGAATGTAATGGGCCATAATTCAGGGTGCATATAACACACGAGTGCGTATTATACGCGAATAAATAAGTCTTGTGTACATTGATCAAAAAGGGGTGCTAAATGGGATTGTTCACTAGCCAATATATTAGCAAATATCGCAGTGGGCGATTATTAGAGCGGGGCGCTTATTACGTCGAATACAGTAAGTGTTATCGTATGGACTATTGTCAGCAAATCTTTCTAGACAGCATTTTTACTCATCTCGTCCACTAGCCTTATCATCAAAGTCTTGTTTCCACCCTTGCCACATCAACAGTCGCAGACGTAACGTGTACGCGTGACGGCTCTGCCGTCTCTTGTACGCGAGACGGGTGGGGGTCCGCAGTACTCAGTGAAGCGCTTGATCAAGGCCACTTTCCTGTGCTTTATATGATTGGACTATCACACGTGTCGAAGAAAGTTACACAAAATCAACACACACAACTGGTACACCTTCGCAGGGAAGTGATTTGCCACTGCCTGTCTTTGTTGACACAAATATGTCTTTTTCATATTTTAAAACCCCCAACGATTGCCTATGATTTTGTGTCAGGGATGAAGTCGCGAATGTGTTCGTTATCTGAGCGACCATGTGCAGTGTTTGAAATAGGTGAGGTGAAATTGGGTTTAACGTCGCTTCCAAGATTATTGCACTTATATAGCGACGTGCATGCACGTGTGTGTGTGTGTGTGGCTGCTTGTACTAGACCGGATTGATGCCGATTTATAGTGCTAGCCCACTGAGATACCATGCCGCAGTTTAACATGAATACCCCACTCAGATACAGTATACTGACTCCGAGCCGACCAGTCCTTGCTTTAACCCTTGATGCCGAGCGCCAGACAGGATAACAACAAGTACCATCTTTTAACGTCTTTTGGTATGACGCGGCCGGGGATCGAACCCCGGACCTTCCGCTCTCCGGGCGGACCCTCTACCACTAGACCACGGAGGCAGTCCAGTGTTCGAAATAAGTTCCAGCCTGTAGGCTGGGGCAGGTAGATCTTGTGTCAGGCCTGTAGTTTCAAATTTGTATGTGTCCTTATGGCCTGCTGTAAATTTACATCTCAATTTACTTGTCACAATAAGCTGTAGTTATTTAAAAGAGGGCCTGAAGATTTTAGTCACTGGGCTCGCAGCTTCTTATGCCTGTGCTTCCACATAGCAGCCAGGCATTTTCTTTTATGTCAAAAACCGGTATAGGGTCTAGAAACATACTTATCTGCCCTTAATTGGCAAGCGCTAAGCAGCAGATTTTTAGTCCATTATAATTTCCAGCGCATGCACAATCCAGTACTTTGCAACAATTGCCTTTTGTCACTTTTGGAATAGCACAGACAAGGGTATTAATCATGTTAATTCAAGCATTGGTCTCATTCACCAAAGTTTCTACATGCCATTTTATAATATTGAATATTTAGCTTTTCTTACAAATACTGTCTTTTAACTAATGTTAATAGATTTACGTCTTTAAATATTTAACTTAAATACCTACATGTGTAAAACTAGTGGGTAACAGAAATTTGAATACCCATATAGAATTACTGATACCCAGTGATTTTAAAATGCATGGGTAAAATACCCACAACACCAAAAGCTTATCTGGAGCTCTGCTATAGTGTAATGGACATTTGTCATTACCTGTAATATGGAGAGGGTTCTCAGGAGGTTGTTTTCTTTCAGGTACTGCTCAATGAGCCTCACAACACTGAAATGAAACACAATCATTTTCTTATAAAACTTCGAAAATGGATAGTTTCAAAATGAAACATATCAAAACACACAGACAAAATGTTGACCTGTTAGAATCCAGATAAACATACAGTTTAAGGGCTCTCTTGCATGGAGCCAATTTTCAGTCCAGACTTTGTAAATAGTTGCAAGTTTGAAAACAGAGACATAGTCACTGTGTTAATAAATAATGACAAGAATGCAGTTTACCGAGGATATCTTATAGGGTTTGGTAACCCTTTCCAATCAAAAACACCTTCACGAGTCTTAGGGTTGTGCAGCCCTTGCGAAACTGCAGTCTTGCTGTTGATTGTGTAGAACATGTTAATGTGCTCAATGATCTCAACAAATTTGCTTAAACAAACACTAGAAAAACATACTTCATCTCCAACATTGACTGACTTGGAACTTTACTCAAAACGGCTGTGATACATCACACCGTGCACACTTTTTCGGATTTCAATTAGTATCGCATGGACAATGGTACAGGGTAAACTCATGTTTCCAGCTTTAGGCAGGCTAGGCTAAAGAGTTAATCTAGATAGCCAACACTTTATCCCATGACCACAGGCACCATCATCAATAATTAGTGTATGTTTACCAAGTGATCAGCACTTGGTTGTTTACCTTTAGGCGCTCATGCAGTAGCAATTTTCTCTTCAAAACTCTAAACTTTATACAAATTTACAGATTTTCCTCAAATTCTACTAAACCGAAGGATCATTTGCACAGAAAGAGGTACCAAAATGTAATGACCATAACAGGTGCTTGAATGGAAAGAGGATCAGGGCTAAAGAAAGAATTGGGTGTTAACCTACCATAACACGACTAACCCTTAAGTACCCATGAAGATCCGAGTTAGGAAAGGTCTCCAGCAACCCATGCTTGCCGTAAAAGGCTACAATGCTTGTTGTAAGAGACGACTAATGGGGTCGAGTAGTCAGGCTTGCTGACTTCGTTGATGCATTTCATCATATTCCATTTAGATTCCGCTGTAGAATAGGTCTTCAGCAACCCATGCTTGCCGTAAAAGGTGACTATGCTTGTCGTAAAAGGCGACTAACAGGATCGGGTGGTCAGGATGCGTGGATCGATGATCATGATATTAATCACTGGATTGTCTGGTCCAGACTCGATTATTTACAGACCGCCTTCATATAGCTGGAATATTGCTGAGTGTTGCGTTAAACAACAAACCAACCAACCAAATCATATCCCATTAGCATGGACCGATGCTCATATTGTCAATCACTGGATTTTCTGGTCCAAACTTGATTATTTACAGACCACCATCATATAGCTGGTATATTGCTGAGTGTGTCGTAAAACAACAAACAAACAAACTGACCCTAAATATCGTAGAGACAGGCCGCAAGATCAGTGAAATAAGAGCCACAGCCAGCAGCCTGAGCCAGTTAGCGCAATAAAAACTGCATCCAGTAAACTGCATTAATTGTTGCCTTCAAATTATGGGTTAAAGAGTTTGCATAGTGAGGGATAATACATGTTTCCGCTGCATGAGGGTTAACGACTTAAAATCAAAATATATGCCAGTTATCCCCCTTTAACAAGGGGTTTCTGAATTAAATAAGACAATACTTATCATGAATATATTTATCGTGCAGATCAGTGCAGATATGACACGTGATGCATGCATCAGGTTGTTGTGGTCACTCTGGTCAGAGTGAAAGGAACATAATATTCAAGGCAACTTCAATGCCATGCATCCTTCCAAAACAATGCCGGCGTCTCCGTGCCGGTTATTGCCTGTTTGCAAAAAAATGGCTATTTTGGAAAACATCCTGACGCTTGTGAAAAGAATCGTGCAAAACATAGTTTGGGTTGGATTTGTCTATAAATTAAAGTAAATATACGCATGACACGCGTCATTCAATGCAATTTTAGTCATACTTACTCTGCTGACTCGATTTCCACCGCCATGTTTCTTTACGATCTCGAACAAACGCGTTGTATCTCGGAAGGTCTCGCTTTCAAGTCATGTGATGAACAAAATGGTGGCTGCCATGTCGCCGTAAATGTTATTCGACTGTTGAACCGTGCGACATGGAATCTTACATTCATGGAAAGGATTAGAACTACTTGTTTCCATTTCTTAAGGTTTGTCACTTAATTGGAGTTGAAGAAGTCAAGTACTAGTCCTTGATTCAAGTGACAAGCTCCACTCCTATTTTTATCACTGACAATTTGGCGTCAGCTGTCAAATCCACCGCCCTATATCGTGGAGATGGCAGAAGGTAAGAGGAGATGGACATTGGCATATCTTGACTTAGTTGAAGTTCCCTTTGATCTTGCTGAAAAATACGGAGGACTGATCGAAGAGCTGGATTTAAGTTACAACCGAGTGACGTATCCTTTTTAGCACTAGCAGACCCACATTAATTTCATATTAATATTGCAAGCACATCTTTAATTCATGTTGAAAATTGGTGTCAGGTCAAGATTGACAACCATACCAATGGGTAAAGGCACTCAAAGGCAATGTAATTTGATGACAACAACAGCATTTAGGTGTAAATAAGAATTAAAAAGAATTTCTGATGTTGTGCGGTGTCATGTTGTCGTAAGCCTGTGTTAAAGAATGGGAGTTACGATCAACTTAGCGCTAAGATCACTTTGTGGAACGGGGCCCAGGGCAATGATTAATGCCTCAAATATAACAAAGATAAAAAATAATTGTAATAGAAAGATATATTGTTGATTTATGGTTCAGTAAGTCATATTCCAGATTTGTCACAGATTAATTGAGTCTGTCCGAAATAAACAGGGGTTGATATCATGAGAAACGTCCCATCCTTTCTTGATACAGTGACATGCAAGTATGTGATAAAGTGAAATGCTAATTTTAAACACTGTTTTTTTTGGTTTTTTTTCATTAATCAGTGCGTTTCCATGGTAAATAAAAAGCAGGAAATGTAACGTAACGTATGTCTGACTTTTCCTTATGTCTGTCAGAGATTTACGTTTCATGAGTGACTTCCCCAAAGTGTCGACACTGATCCTGGATCACAACAACATCTCCTGCCAAGTGAAGCTGCCGTCTCTGCCTGAACTCATTACACTATGGGTCAACCACAACAAGATAAGAAATCTGGGTATGTGACAATGATAATACAATAAGAATGTTTAATTTGTGTCACCATGGTAACAAAATGTGCATATACTTTCAGTAACCATGAGGCCAGAATAAATACAGTAAAGATTTTTATCCAAACATTTTAAAAATGTTGATGGATGGGCTTGATGAGAAGTGTGAAATGTTTGGCAAGATATTCTATGACTACATAAATGGTGTATTTCATCAAGTAAAGAAACAGATGCCACTTTTATTTTCTATAGGATATTTGGCACAGAAAATGATTAAGAAACTGATCATGTATTATTGGGGAGAGGGCTGGTGAGATTGGGGTTGGGTCTGGGCGTGGGCGTGTCATGAAACAATGGCACAATTTATCACAGCTATACGGGGGCCATAAAAATATGACAGTTCTAGTTTTTCAAATATCTTTTTGTGAATTTGAACATTATTTAGGAACTGGTATTTTATTGTAGGGTGGGGAGAGGGGTCATGGAAATATGTAACATAAAATAGGGGGTCGGCAAAATATGATACAGTCCTAAGACCAATCTCACCCCTATCCCAAATGAGGTCCAAATTGTCTCTGGAAATAGGCAGAATGTTTTAATGTTCATTTGACTGTTGATGTTCTCGTCTTACTGATGTTGTCAATCACCTGATTTTGGGGAATCAGCGCCATTATTCCTGAAGAGCTTGTTCAAGTTGAATTCTGTTGGCTTGGGGCTGTTGTGTCTTGTTTTTCTTTTCCAAGTTTTCTTATTAATGTTCAATAGGAATCACATCCGATGATGAGGTGGTCCATGGTCGGATGTGTTGTTGTGGTAGTTGCATCAATTAGTGATGAGGCCTTGCATTGTCAGGGGGGCTTTCCACGTACAGGTGGGACCCGTGAAGATGCGGGGTAAAGTTGGTCTGGTAAGTGGGGTACCCTAATGGTTAAAGCGTTCACTCGTCACGCAGAAGCCCGGGGGTCGATTCCCCACATGGGTACAATGTGTGAAGCCCATTTCTGATTTCCCTTGCCATGATATTGCCGGAATATTGCTAAAACCGGCGTATAGCCATACTCACTTACTCCATCAATCTCACAAATGTATATTGATAAAAAGTTCTTGAAATTTCAAGATACTAAGTTGAAAATTCAAGATAATGATCTTGAAATTTGAAGATAATAAGTTATAATCTTAAAATTTTGACTTATTATCTTGAAATTTCATTATTTTGAAGTTTCAAGTTGCTATGTTGAAATTTAAAGATAACAAATTGAAATTTTAAGTTATGATCTTAAAATTTCGACTTACTATCTTGAAATTTCAAGATCATTATCTTGAAATTTCAACTTAGTATGCATCTTGAACTTTTAACTTAGTATCTTGAAATTTCAACATGAAATTACAAGTTAGTATCTTGAAATTTCAATAAAAAAATTTTAAAAACAAAGGCTTCCGTAAAAATGTAAAGAGGAGAAACACACATCTTTTCTCCTGAGTTGGAAGGCAGTGATAAAGTACAAAAAACATAGTCTTTTAATCCATCATCTTTTTTCACCAACTGACCAGGTTGTTTTAACACAAAAAAATTGTAAACCAAGAAATTATAAACCTAATGACTGTTTGCCATTTGTTCACAAAGTTAGTGGGGCTCCTGTACTGGTTACTGGTATGAGGTATAGCAGTGATAATACAAGCCAAGTTTATCACCCTGATAACTCCACCCGACACAAACAGACAAGATAACGCCATGCCTGTGTTCCTCGGGTCAGTAAAGACTTAGTCACAACATTCCGTACTTATTGATATGAAGGACGCATCACTGTGGAAGCTGCTAATGCTATATATAGAAAAGAACTTCTTTCTCAATCAGCAGTTGGCATTTCGAAATAATGATATGTACTACCGTATTCGATGTAATATGCACCCTAATAAGCGCCTGCAGCGATATTTGCTAATATATTGGGTAGTGAACATTCCCAATTAGCACCCCTTCCGATTGATCAATGTACACAAGACTTATTTATTCGTGTATAATACGCAATCAAGTCTTATATTGCAACCTTTAATTATGGGCAATTAAATTCTCGAAAAATTTATCTGTCATGTATAATATGCCCAGATTTTTCTTTTGTATCATTTCAGGCTGTCAGCATAAACCACAAAATTTATGATCTTTTTTTTTTCACCAAAAGTTTATTCTAATAAGAGCCCCCTATTTCTAATTTTGTGAGCGCCCTGGGCGCTTATTACGTCGAATACGGTATTACAGATTACAAAATGTAGAATTATTTCCTTTGAGTGGCATTTAGAAGTTGGAGTGATGAAGTAAGACGAGTTCTATGGATGAACAACTTCTTTATTACAATTAGTGCTGAGATTGCCACGTCTCCATGTAGACGGCGTATAACTTCTTTGAGTGGCATTTAGAAGTTGGAGTGATGAAGTAAGACGAGTTCGATGGATGAACAACTTCTTTATTACAATTAGTGCTGAGATTGCCACGTCTCCATGTAGACGGCGTATAACTTCTTTGAGTGGCATTTAGAAGTTGGTGTGATGAAGTAAGACGAGTTCGATGGATGAACAACTTCTTTATTACAATTAGTGCTGAGATTGCCACGTCTCCATGTAGACGGCGTATAACTTCTTTGAGTGGCATTTAGAAGTTGGTGTGATGAAGTAAGACGAGTTCTATGGATGAACAACTTCTTTATTACAATTAGGCACTAATTGTAATAAAGAAGTTGTTCATCCATAGAACTCGTCTTACTGTAGAATTATTGTTCAACAATATCATATATGTGTTCAACACTGCTGCATTCTTAATAAATCATGTCAGGTTTGATGTCTTGGTTGATAATACTAACAATAACAACAATAATAACGATAGTAACAACAATATTAATATGCCTAATTATAAATATTGTGCCAGATTCCATTCACCTAGTGAATCCTCATATACCCAATAAATCAGTGTTCTGTTTTCATTCTCAACTCCCTAGGGAGTATACAACACAAGCTGCCTCTGAGGCTAGAAGGTTAACAGTCACATGATCATCATCCTTCCGGGTACCCATTAACTGCTGGGTGAACAGGCATATCGAATAAAGTCAATTGCGTAAGGAATGCTTTAGTGTGGGGCGTTCACCCATCAAAGTAACTCTCTGCAACTCTCCGCTGTGCACTGTGCACAGGACTATGTGCCGTCACATGGTGCGTCTACATACCCCAACAGTATGGACATTTGCTCATCTTATCAATCACCGGTTTGTCTGGTCTAGGTTTAATGATTTACAGGCTTTCATCAGCTGATTGGAGTCAAACAAATCAAAAAGTAGTTTCAAAAGTTAAAAAAATTTCAAACATATTTCTATAAAAAATTGAAAGTGATTCCATGACATTTGATTGGCTAGCAAAGCAATTTTATATGCATTTATGTTTCCGTAAACCAAAAACAGTTAGGCCTGTTTCTTGATTGGTTGATAATAGAAGGGGTGGGGCTCGTGTTGCGTTATTGCACTGAATACAGTCAAGTCTCGTTAATCCGACACTCGTTAACCCGACACTCGGCTTTATCCGACACAAATGATGGAAACCGATTGATTCAGTGCTATTTAGTCCCGTTGATCCGCCATTCTCGCACTCCGACTCCGACACACCTAATTTGCAAAGAATTAGCAAAATCACTAATTAATCAGTCTCGTTAATTTGACACAGTGGTCAGCGTACTCCGTGTTCATCTCCCCGTGAGTACACAGCCGTGTGTTTTAACAGAGATGCAGAGATTAACTTAACAATTAACAGGAAAAGCTATTCAAACCTGTATGTACAAAGCTATACAAATGTAGTTTACAAATTGTATGTTGTCAACACTTTTTGTGTGTAATATTTAAGTAAGCAGTCTGCGAGTTATTATTGTTGACGTAATATGTCACAAGACTTGACTCCAATATGTATTTGCGTTTATGGATTTAAAAACATAAAATTACGAATATCTGTCGGGCAGATTTACACGGCATGCATTTTTTTTTTTACATTTTTACCTCCAGAATAAAAAAATGATAATGAAGTCATTTCTGAATTAAATTCTTTCTCTTCAGGTGTGTTTGTCGCCACAATTTCAAAGACGTGCCCGAATCTGAGGTTTTTGTCCATGATGAACAATGAAGCTGCCCCCAGCTACTTCAACGGAGGATCCTATCAGCAGTACGTCGACTTCAGGTCGGTCACATTCACACAGATACACAGGGGTGTTCATTAAAGATTTCCCCTGACCCACTTTTGATGGACCTAGTGGAATGAAACTTGGCATAGGTATTAGTCTTTCTCCACATAGGAACCACCAAGAGTTACATACTTCTCCCATCATTTTATGCAACTATGGAGACCTCGCTTGTAAAATCCCTCATTTTGCGTCTGAAACCAGGACTTGACTTCAGAAATCAGTGTTTCATCATCTGTGAAACGTTTTCCTTTCAAAAATGACTTCAGGGTTGGAAAGAGGTGGAAGTCAGATGGTGCAAGGTCAGGAGAGTAAGGAGGATGTGGAAGGATTTCATAGCTACAGGACCGCGCTTCTGTCTGGGCAACATGAGAGTTGTGTACTGGAGCATTGTCTTGCAGGAGACGGACACCCTTGGTCAGCATGCCCCGCCTCTTAAGCTTGAAAGCGTCCCGCAATTTCCGCAGCAGTGAAGCATAATAAGCTCCTGTAATTGTGGTACCCTTTGCCAAGAAATCCATCATCACTACTCTGTGCTGGTCGCAAAACACCGTGAGCATGACCTTGCCTGCAGAGGGTTGGACACGTGCCTTCTTTGGGGGTGGTGACTCCACATGCTTCCATTGCATCGACTGAACTTTAGTCTCAGGATCATAGAGATGGACCCATGTTTCATCCTGTGTGATAAGTCTGTCAAAAAAGTTTGCCTGGTTTTTTTTTGCACATGTCCAAAAGATCCTTTGAGCAATTGACTCGTTCCTGCTTTTGGAAAGGTGTGAGCAACCTGGGAATCCATCGTGCAGACACCTTATGCATGTTCAAATTGTCATGGATGATTTTTTCCACAGACCCTACACTGATCTTGACATCTTGTGCTAACTGGCGAACAGTTATACAATGTACGTCGGTCTGCCAAAATGGCGGTCTCCACTTGATGGATAGTGTCCTCATCAATGGCTGAATGGGGGCGACCAGGAATGGCAGCTGTTTCCACAGATGTCCGACCACACTTGAACTGGCGATGCCAGTGTTTAACAACGTCATATGATGGGGCATCTTCCCCATAAGTTGCTTTCATTTCATCGAAAGTTTCTTTTGGTGTGCGACCTTTCAAATATAAAAACCTAATCACTGCTCGGTATCCTACTGGCTCCATTGTCACACCCTACTCGATCATAACACCTGTAAAAGTAATAAGATTAATATTTCGGTGCTGCAAATTCAGACATAACCCATAGATACATGTATAATTACACATGTGAAATTTCAACCAAATATGATAACCTTAAGTGGTTTAGGGGAAATCTTTAATGAACACCCCTCATACATATTTCATCAAACCAGACACATCCAAATTTATGGTTGGTTTGTTGTAATACGCCACACTCAGCAATATTCCAGCTATATGACGGCGGTCTGTAAATAATCGAGTCTGGACCAGATAATCCAGTGATTAATATCATAAGCATTGATCCATGCAATTGGGATCGATGACATGTATCAACCAAGTCAGCGAGCCTGACCACCCGATCCCATTAGTCGCCTTTTGCGTCAAGCATAGTCACCTTTTACGGCAAGCATGGGTTGCTGAAGACCTACTCTACCATGGAATCTTCACGGGTCTCTCAATTTATGACCCGGATACCAAATACCACCTGACCCTACCCAGTAATCTCACGAGTTGGGTATAAAGTGCGGCGTTAAACAATAAACCAACCAACCAATGTCATTGCCAGGTACTACGTGATCAGTAAGATCCCTACCCTGGAGGCACTGGATGACAAGCAAGTTACTTCGGACGAGAGAAGAGAGGCCGAGAGAATATACAGGAAGCCAGTGAGTGTAATTTTTGTTCTGAACTTTCCAATACATTTCTATTTCCATTACAAGCAGAGACTCATGGTGCTAAGATGTGTCTTAGACAACACAGCTTCGTGGAAAGGCCTACATATTAACTCTTGTGTTTCAAATTGAAGACTGTTCCTGAGATTGAGTTTGTGAAGTTTGTTTTGTTATGGAAGATAAGTGTCATTTGTCCTAAGTAAGTGTTTAATCATTTCGGTTCCTGAGATTGTGAAGTTTGTTTTGTTGTGGAAAATAAGTGTCATTTGTCCTAAGTTTGTTTGTTTGTTTGTTGTTTGACGCCCCACTCAGCAATATTCCAGCTGTATGACGGCAGTCTGTAAATAATCGAGTATGGACCAGACAATTCAGTGATTGACACCATGAACATCGATCCACAGAATTGTGATAAGATGACATGTATCAACCGCCTCTTACGACAAACATGGGTTGCTGAAGACCTATTCTGACCCGGATCTTCACAGGGCCATTTGTCATAAGTAAATGTTTAATCATTTAATTTCATTTCAGTTTGTTGTGGAAGATAAGTGTCATGTGTTTCATCCTTGCAGATCAAGAGAAGCAAGAAGAACAGCAGCAGCAACAACGCTGCCAAACGACGAAGCAGTTGCTGGAACTGAGTTGTCTCCTCGTCAGACTTTCTCCACAAAGTGAAACTAATATCCCTGTGAACTTTCCCCGAATATCTCGACAATGAATACCATTGTTTGTTTATAATGAGAAAAGCTCATTTTGATTAATACCAATCCTTTCAAATCTGCACTCATTGATTGAGGCAGGGATTTTTGTTTAGGACTTTGAATTCTGGGGGGGTGAACGGTTATCCCCCCCAAAACTTCTACTTGCCAAAACCTCTACGCTTAGTTAAGAGAACATGTGGGTTCACCTATTCTTATAATGGACCAGCCCAAGGGCATTAATTTGTAGTAGGACAAGCTGGGATAAATGACATGAATTAACTTGACCTAAGATCAAACAGTGGTTAGTTTGTTTAACTCCAACAACTAAGGGATTATAGTGAGTGAGTGAGTTGGTTTAACACCGCTTTTAACAATATTCCAGTTATATCACAGCCTGTCTGCTTTATGTGGGAGGAAAGCCCGAAGTGATGCAGGTCTTAAGACATTTACCACTTCGGTGAAACCCACAAGCACGGGTATGGTGCTGACAAACCTAGAAACATAATTGGGGCGAACCGGGATTTGAACCCACAATCAAATGTTTCTGGCATGCCCAAGGGACGCAACTCTGCACAGCGAATCGTGACGACTTAGACAACTGGGCCACCATGCCCCCTATGGGATTATATATGCATGTAGTGAGAGAAGTATATATAGAGAAAATAAGTTGGAGAAGGGTACAGATTACACTGGATGAGGATGCAAGGTTTCTCCTGTCGCTGTGGAACCACCACTTGACTGATTGTTCAGTCTGTAGATGTTTTGGCAGTAGAGGTTTTGGGAGGATACCGGGTAAACAGTGCAATATGATTTAACCTCCTGTTCTCCCCAGTTGTTGAATGATCTCTTCCACCGCCAAGGTAACACTGATATCTTTTGTAAAACTGATGGATTAGTCAATTTGATGAACAGGGAGGTAACAAAGTGACAATGTAAAGATACCAAAAGCATATTGTCAGGAAACACTAAAACTGTCCTGTGTAAAAACAATGCTTGTGTTTGATGTTTGTTTGTTTGTTTTGTTTGTTGTTTAACGCCGCACTCAGCAATAGTCCAGCTATATGACGGAGGTCTGTAAATAATTGAGTCTGGACCAGACATTCCGGTGTTTGATGTCATGAGCATCGATCCAACCAATTGGGATACGATGATATGCATCAACCAAGTCAGTGAGCCTGACCACCTGATTGTCGCCTCTTACAACAAGCATAGTCGTCTCTCACGGCAAGCACGGGTTGTTGAAGACCTATTCTACCCCTCATTTAAGAATGCTGGATCCACCCTATAACAACTTATGATTCAGTTTATGTAAATAGTGATGTATAAATTAAATATTAAATTTAATATATTGTGTACATTGACAAATATGTGATGCTCCATATATGTGACCTATACTCAGGGACCATAAAATAAATATTATTTCATGATCTCGGTTATACCTTAAATATTACTAATTCGTCATTGTGTATTATTTCTGGTGAAATGTGACAGTAAAATTAGCATTTGTTCATGTGAGATTTTTGTGTACATATATAGATGCTGAGGGTTTGGGAATAGCAGCTTCTGAAACATTGGCGGCAAGGGTAATGCACTCCACTCTGTTAATTTTGTTCATAAATTTATGTTTCACAAACATGGTTGGTTGGTTTGTTGTTTTACACGGCACCTGGCAATATTCCAGCTATATGAGGGGCGGTCGGGTAGCCTAGTGGTTAAATCGTTAGCTCGTCACGCCGAAGACACGGGTTCGAATCCCGACATGGGTACAATGTGTGAAGCCCATTTCTGGTGTCCCCCGTCGTGATATTGCTGGAATATTGCTAAGGCGGCGTTAAACCAAACTCACTCACTCATTCCAGCTATATGACGGCGGTCTGTAAATAATCGAGTCTGGACCAGACAATCCAGTGATTGACATCATGAACATCGATCCACGACAAACATGGTCAAAGGGCAGACAACTTTTGACAGCTTACAGCAGTAATGATCAGTGATTCGGATGCTGAACTGATCCTCTGTCATGAAAGATGCTGGCCCGTCATTCTGATACAATACTTTTGAAACAGTGAATAAAAGAAAAGAAACAGAAAAAACTTGACTCACGCATGCTAGAGTGAGTGAGTGAGTGAGTTGGGTTTTACGCTGCTTTTAACAGTATTCCAGTTATATCTCGGCGTGTCAGCTTAATGTGAGAGGAAAGCCCGAAGTGATGCAGGTCTCAGACGTTTACCACTTCGGTGAAACCCACGAGCACGGGTATAGTGCTGACAAACCTAGAAACATAATCGGGGCGAACCGGGATTCGAACCCACAATCATAGGTTTCTATGTGCCCAAGGGACGCAACTCTGCACAGCGAATCGCGGAGCCTTAGACGACTGGGCCACCCGTGCCCGATGTATGCACTGAGGGGCACACAACTCATATTATGATGTGAGAGTTGGTTGGTTTATTGTTGATTAACGCTGCACTCAGCAATATTCCAACTAGATGACGGCGGTTTGTAAAACAAAACTGAGTCTGGACCAGACAATCCAGTGACTGACATCATGCGTATCGCACATGCCGTAAGTCGCCTTTTACGACAAGCATTGTCACCACTTACAGTTAGCATGGGTTGCTGAAGACCTATTCTACCCCGAATCTTCACGTGAGGGGCTTGGCATGAATATGAACGATGTATAAAGTGAAAGCATTGCAATGGATGAGAACCACGCCCCTGGCACTTTAACTGCATTATCCGTGCAATATTTGTCAAAATCATTAGATCATACGTTATCAACAATCCTAATTTGAAAAATGCTATTGACATCTGGAGAAGTAGACCTTGATTTATTATCTTAACTGTCCGACCCGTGAAGATCCAGGGTAGAATAGGTCTTCAGCAACCCATGCTTGCCGTAAAAGGCGACTATGCTTGTCCTAAAAGGCGACTAACGGGATCGGGTGGTCAGGCTCACTGACTTGGTTGATGCATGTCATCGATTCCAATTGCGTGGATCGATGCTCATAATATGAATCACTTGATTGTCTGGTCCAGACTTGATTATTTACAAACCGCGGTAATATAGCTGCAATATTGCAGCGTTAAACAACAAACATCATCAGGAAGATGACATATCACCCCTCCCCCTCCGGTAGCTGTAAAGTAACCACAAGCAAATGTGCAATTCTGTATGTAATGAGTCAAGAGTTGAATGGTCTTGAAGAAGCATACATTGTTTACCCACAAAAGATCCACCATGGTTGCATCAATATGAAATGGAAAGTAAAACAAGTGTGTTTCTGTGGGTTTTGTTATGCAAACAAATGACAAATTACAAGAAACAATAACTTCAGAAGCCTATAGTCAACGAAGTCATCTATATTCCCCGCCCATTTTAACATGTTATGGTCCCAAACCAGGTAACTGACCCAACATTTCTCTTAGCCCATGTCAAAATAGCTGCAATGGAAATAAACATTTCCAAAACTCCTTAATATCAAATGGCACCAGTTCATGTACTTTATATATAGACATGCAATGTTCCCGGCAAGGAAATATTTAACAGTTTATTTGTTATACACCATAAGTGAACCCACCCTATATTAAAACTTAAATCCAACTTGTTACCATGGAAACGTAAAAAATATATAATTTTCTAAAAGTGCTAAATATCAAAAGGCACCACTTCAGTATGTGCCTGGTAGACATGCAGAATTTCGTAAAAAAGTATTTCACGTTTTTTTAGTTACACTCCGGAAATGAACACCACCCTTATAGAACCTAAGTCCAATTTGTTACCATGGAAACGTAACAAATACAAAATTCTAAAATCCCTAAATAGCAAAAGGCACCAGTTCAGCATGAGTCTGATAGATATGCAAAGTTTTGTTAGAAAGCATAGGATGGGTTTTGATGTATGCTCCAAAACGAACTCTACCCTATAGAACCTTAGTCCAACTTGTTCCCATGGAAACGTAAACAAATATAAAAAATTCTAAAATTCTTAAATAGCAAAAGGTACCACTTCAGTATGTGACTGATAGATTTGCCAAGTTTCGATCAAATACACTGAATGATTACAGACAGACATACTGGCTGATCGCTATATATTTCAGTGTCATGTATTTTTTAAATCGACCTAGGTAATAACTGCCTGTGCAGTGCCGCGTAACATCAGCAGGGACAGGCATTTACCTGTGCCAGCTCTAAATGGAAACAACAGCCAACACCGACAGCTAGAGAACAGAGGCAATCTCTGCATGCCATCGCAACTGCAGCAACAGGATTGAGATATAGGGAACAGTTTGCAATCAACCTCCTTTCATGTAACGATTTCTGACGGGGTAGCCAAAGAATGCACCAATTATCGATTCCAGTTTCCTAATTGCAAGACTTAAGCTGTACCAATCTATTCTGCTAGTTTGTTAATTTTCATTGTCAGATACTCCCTTTTTAATTTCAATTATTCAATTTGTAATTCAAGTTTTTCTTTCTGTAATGGACCCGTGAAGATCCGGGGTAGAATAGGTCATCAGAAGCCCATGCTTGCCGTAAAAGGCGACCATGCTTGTCGCAAGAGGCGACTAACGGTATCGGAGGGTCAGACTCGCTGACTTGGTTGATGCATGCTATCGTGTCCCAAATGCGCGGGACCCGTGAAGAATCCGGGATAGAATAGGTCTTCAGACCCCTATGCTTGCCGTAAAAGGTGACCTTGCTTGTCGTATGAAGCCACTAACGGGATCGGGTGGTCAGGCTCACTGACTTGGTTGATGCATGTCATCGTATCCCAATTGCGTGGATCTATGCGCATCATGTCAGTCACTGGATTGTCTGGTCCAGACTCGATTATTTACAGACCATCGCCATATAAAGCCGGAATATAGCTGAGTGCAGCGTCAAACAACAAACAAACAAAATACCTGTGGAAGGGGGAAACATATACAGAAATAAGTTACTTTGGAGGTCTAAATGATTGTGTTGGGGATTGTGTTATTCCACTCTAAGCCACACACATCACCCATAGGTCTTCAGCAACCTATGCTTGCTTGTAGTTAGAGGCGACTAACGAGATCGGGTGGTCAGGCTCGCTGACTTGGTTGATGCATGTCATCGTATCCCAATTGCGTGATTCCATGCTCATGATGTCAATTTCAGACCGGCGTCATATAAACACACCCCATCCTTTATTGAAACAGCCCACCGAATCGGCCTGAAAGGACATGTTGCCCAGACAGGCCAAATAAATAAGATAAGAATATTTTTGTTTTAAGGTCTAGGTGAGGCAGTACTTGTGGATAGTTAAAGGGGCAACTTGAGTTGGGCGACTAGTGTCGCCAGCAGCAATAGCGGTAAGGATGTGTTTGCAGATGACTCCAGGGAACTTGGAAAGAAAAGTATTATATATAGTTAAACAGGGGACGCCACGCCAGTATGACAGCATTATTGCCTCCTACCAATTGTACAGCAAG